CGCAGCATGCCTTCCATGGAATTTTAGTATGGGATGTAAAAAGCATTTCTATTGATAATTCTGCCTCACCCGTGTGAAGAATAATATAATGTCTTCAATCACATAAAACGTTTCATGCATAAAAAGGAAGCATGTAACAATAAAAAGATATATACTCTTCAGAGTTCTTCAATTGGTTGTTCTCTTATAGTTCCTGTCCATAGTTTTAGAGGTGTCAAAATGGGTCTTAAACCCATATATGACCCATTTAAAAATAAATGGGTCATATATGGGTCACTTTAATTTTAAAGAGTCAACCTTAAATGGGTTTTAAATTTTAAAACTTAAAGATAAATGGTCTAAATGGGTTGAGTTTGGAACCCATGTCCAACCCACCCACTAGACCCATCCACACACTCTCTCTCTCTTTATAAAGATGTTTAAAAAAAATCGAAATTTAATTATTTTTATTTTTTCTCTTTTTCTTTTCTTTTTTCTTTTCTCTTCTTTCTTTTTCTTTTTTTTTTATTCCGGCCGGTGGTCGGCCACGACGACCGGCCACCAGGGCGGGACGACCTCGCCGGAGGCCGGCGAAGCTCGAGCTCGCCGGCCTCGAGCGAGGCTTGAGCCTCGCCGATCTGGCGAGCCTCGAGCTCGCCCGATCCCGGCGAGGCTCCAGCCTCGCCGATCTGGTGAGACACGAGCTCGACGGCCTCAGGCGAGCTCGACCTCGCCGGATCTGGCAAGGTGGAGCCTCGCTCGAGGCCGGCGAAGCTCGAGCTAGCCAGCCTCGGGCGAACTCGACCTCGCCCGAGGCTGGCTAGCTCGAGCTTCGCCGGCCTCTGGCGAGGCTCCACCTTGCCAGATCCGGCGAGGTTGAGCTCGCCTGAGGCCGGCGAGCTCGAGTCTCCAGATCGGCAAGGCTAGAGCCTCGCCTGAGGCCGGCGAGGCCTCGGCCTCGCCAGATCGGCGAGAACGAGCTTCGCCGTCCACGCGTTGGCCAAAAATAAAGGAAAAAGAAAAAAATAAAAAATAATTAAAAATTCGATTTAAAAAATAAAAAAATATTTAATATTTTTTATTTTCTTGGATAATGACTTTATGGAAAATATTTTCTAGAAATGTCGCATTTTTCGTAAAACAAACAGAACCTCAATGTTAAAAAAAATTATAAAATTTTTTCACTAGCTTTGTATTACATAAAATGTTTTAGCAGTATAATTTTAAAAAAAAAATCATAAGAAACAAGTATTCCTAGATTAGGTTAAATATAAAAGTGTTTTAGCAATATGGGTTGGGTCGGGTATGGGTTGGGTCGGGTCGGGTCGGGTATGGGTCGAGATATTTACACTATGAATAAATGGGTCATAAACGGGTTAATGGGTCAATTTGGGTCGGACCATTTATGACCCGACCCAAACCCGACCCGACCCACCCGTTTAACAGGTCTACATAGTTTATTACTTCATTACATAAACCAAAACCTTTGACAATTTTCAACCTTAATCTTCTAGACAAAATTCCACAAAAAATTATACATACCATCAACATGAACTGTAATAGTATATTCTGATGGAACGGTGTGGACAAGTTGTTTCATGAACTTTTTCTCTCACACACACAGATGTAATCTTTTACAGTTATAAGTTTTACCTATACATTACTTATTTTCGGATCTATTAGAATTGTACTACTTATAAGTCATTATTTAGAAGGGACGTGATAGCAACATTTACGAATAAAAGATGCTCCTTCTATTTTTATTATGAAATCATTGCATGAACAGGTTTTCTGCAAGACGTAGACTCAGCAGATAGTAAATGTAAATTCAGGGATGTGATAGCAACATTTACGAATAAAAGATACCCTTTGATTTTAATAATCACATCATTGCATGAATAGTAGGTTTTATGCAAGATGTAGACTCGGCAGATAATAAATGTAAATTCACTAGTCAAATAAGTATATATATATCTTCAAATTTATACCCTCAAACGAAGATGTGAACCCTCACCCTCTTCCCCTTAATTTTTAGACTTTTGTTAACCTACTTACTATTCGTGAAATTGCTTGTAAGATTGTGATCTTCTTTAAAAGTATAAGGCTTGTGATGTGTCATGAACAAAAGAACTAACAAATCATGATTAAAAATAATTTAGACATGCAATTAGATATGGTAGAAAGAAAACATACTTCATTCTGCAATCATCATATCTACACCAAAATCCCCAGTATGTTCAAGATCAACCCAGCCAGGATAAAGGTCATGTAGAGAGCATCTGACAAATGAAGATAACGATAATAAAATGAAACGGGCCAATTTGAAGCATATTAGGTCATGAACATGCATTTAGATATAATACTATGGTGCAGCTTACAAGATCAAGTTAGTGGCCAAGTTTTTAATACTATGCCATGTTATGGTGGAGATGGATCATTTCATCGATCCATAACTCAAATAAGAGACGTACTGCTTCTGTCCTGTCTCCAGTGAGATTTAGAACAGCAGTCTGACATTATCCATTGTATGTTAATAAAGAAACCTCTTCTGTGATAGATGGAAGCGGAAAAAAGTCACAACCAGCAAAATCTTCAGCTGGTGCCAAATCCAAGGCTCCTGCCGCTGAAGCAGAGATTTCCATTACCAGACTAGATATCCGTGTGGGCCTCATAACGAAAGTTCAGAAGCATCCTGATGCTGACTCATTGTATGTTGAAGAGATCGATGTTGGCGAAGGTCAAAATAGAACAGTAGTTAGTGGCCTCGTCAAGTATATCCCTCTGGAGGAAATGCAGGTTTTTTCTCATTTCTAACCATGTTCATTTTCCACAGCATTATATTGCCAACCTTGTTTTGCAGCATAGATATCAGCATTTTAGCTAACTTCTGGATTATTGGTGAATCTACTGTGGCAGAATCGGAAGGTTTGTGTTCTGTGCAACCTGAAGCCAGCTACCATGCGTGGTATCAAGTCACAGGCAATGGTTCTTTGCGCTTCAAACAAGGAGAACACTAAGGTGTGTTTGTTGGAAATCATTTTTATTTTCCTGCTCAAGAAATTAGTCACCTGTTATGGCCTCAAAGGAATGGGTTTTGATTCTCTTTGTGAACCTTTGCAATGAAACATTGAGGCTTGGCGTCTCTCCAGCTGCTTACTTTTGTAGATGACAGTTCTGTGCAATCCTAATTAAGTAGCCTATTTTCAATAGTCGTCCACTTGCAAAGAAATAATCGAGGACTTTTTAGTATGGTTGTGCTACATGGGTTGACTATGGATGGTCAATGGACGAATAAACCAAACTATGACATTTGATTTTTCAGGTTGAGTTTATTGAACCACCTGAGTCTGCTAAGGTTGGAGAGAGAGTTACATTCCCCGGGTTCGAAGGAGCGCCTGACGATGTCCTAAACCCTAAGAAGAAGGTTTGGGAGACGCTGCAACCAGATCTGCACACGGATTCAGGACTAATAGCACACTTCAAGAACATCCCATTCACCACATCAGCTGGTGTTTGCAAGGCTTCATCTATTCAGGATGGCTCGATTCGGTAAATTGTCTGGTAGGCTTTAAAAATTTTGGAGATATAGTGGCTCATGGTTTTTCCCCTCTTCAATATGCAGACTAAAATCATGGGTTTACCTGTGTTGCCAATGTCTGGGCTAATGATTTTTCTGCCCTTGGAATGGTGTAAAATGACAGATTGGTCTAATAGCTCCCCAACAGATTTTTTGACTCTACTAAGGATGTTTACTTGATAGTTAAGCAAGAGGAAACGTGACTCTCTCTGAGGGTGGGTATTATCTTTTTCTTTTTTTCTGTTTCGAGCACACGCCTGGGCTGTGCATGCCGAGCAAGCGCGTGCGTGCGCGAGCATGGAAGGAATGAGACTCTTTTTGAGTTTGTAAAGGGCACTGGTCGGGTTGGCCCGGCATGGCAGTATCCCATGTGCGGCTGCTAGGCCGTGCAGCATTATTCATGGGGAAGGCTGGAGGAGATGAGATTGGGGGGACAAGGTGTTTATGATTATGAGCAAGGAGAGATGGTACAAACGGCGGTGGTAACTGATAGGTAATTTTGCTGCCCAATTCCGGACGAAGACTCTGAAGCGAAGTTGATCAGTGGGCTGGGCCCCGGGTCTTATGATCAGGCCATCCGACGCTGTCGAAGATGTACTTGTCCGCACTAATCACTGGCTATTCATTTTCAAATGCTTTCTTGGTAGGAAATTCTTGCAAAAATATAGAGTACTTGTTAGCGTGCAGTGTCACAAGAAATGGCTGGTCCAATTAGGGATCGCTTGAGAGGCAGTTTCCTCCAGCTTGATGAAGCCGCAAGCGCACGATAAGGGGAGGGATGCCACACCCCCTGAATTGATTCCACGTGCATGCCTCAATCAATCACTTTTGATCACCATTTGACTTTCATCCTCAGGATTGCTGGGGGGTTATCTTCTTATTAAAGGAGAGAATTGATCGCAAGGGTAGATGCCGACATTGAGAGATCGGACAGAAGAAGAGTTCGATGGGGTCGTGCATCTCGACATAGTTTCGGACAATCTGAACAGGCATTATGCGCATCGGTTTCGGCTACTACTTTTTTGCGCATATGTTTGGTATTTCGACGAGCTCGTCATAATCCACTAAATTCGACGAGTCCATCAAATCGTGCCTTTCGATGCATCATCCATGGATCAAGCCTTCTAATGAAATTTGGCGAGCGGCGATGGACGGCGAAAATCGATGTCATACGCTTCTTCGGCTGTGTTCATCTTTTTTACCACTTCCACATGATAATTCTTAGCAAATAAAAATTTGCTGCATTTTAATAATAATATTCAAAAATGGAAAAAAAAAAATCAGAAAACGCAATTTCAAGTAACAGCCGGGAACACTTGTCATCCCCATTGACCCATAGGCCCGCAGGACGGCACCCGCACCTCGCGGCGTGGCGCTTCCCCATTGGCCGTTCACCGCCCCTTTCGTGACCGCCGCCGGGGCTTTAATCGCTCCTCGAGGCGCTTCGCCACGCGCTCTTCCACGAGGAAGGAGAAGGAGGAGAGGAAGAAGAAGGAGAAGGAGGACACGTCGTTCGTTAGAGAGGCAAACAAATCGAATTCGCTCCGGCCGATCGAGATCATGGCGAAGAAGCGGGTGCCCGATTGGCTCAACAGCTCCCTCTGGTCCTCCCCGCCCCCGCCCAACGACGCGCGCCTCCTCCGCTACGCCTCCCGGTACGCCTACGCCGCCGCCGACGAGGGGGACGAGCCGCCGGCGTCGTCGTCGTCGGATCCCCCGTCGCCGGCCCCGCCCCCGGCCGTCGCGAGGGAGGAGCCCGCGGGGGCGGCGAGGGCCGGCGGCAATGACGAGGAGAACGGTGGCGCCGAGGGCCCGTACGGGGAGGAGTTCGCCAGGCAGGCTCAGCTCTTGGCCGAGGTGAGGGTTTTTTTCTCTTTGACCCAGCAGCGTTAGGGATGCGAGTGGTGATTGTATTGGGAAAATGCCTGAACCGAGGCTTCCGGATGGTTTGGGAATTGGGATTGATGGATGATTTTGTTTGGGTTTTGGTGATGTGTAGCTATCGAAGAAGGTGGTAAATGTGAGGGAGTTGAGAAGGATTGTGTCGCCCGGGATACCCGATGGCGCAGGGGTTCGTCCCACCGCGTGGAAGGTAATTGTTGTGCTTGCTTTTGTTGGTTTTGCAATTCATATTCTGGAGCGGTTCAAATGTTGCTGACAAGTAGTAAAAAAGGAGATGGATGTATGACCTATTGGCTAAGTGTTGTGGTGACTTCCCTCCATGTCTAATTGTGGAAATTAATACAATGCAGTGTTCTACTAGCTTGATTTGGAGGGTTTAGTTTTTGTTTGTCCCTTACTATTTTTTGCTGTACAATTCTATTCCAGTAGATTAAACAAGGTTTAATATGTGACTGGTGGCTTGTGGACCTTGTGGCAGCTTTTGCTTGGTTATTTGCCTCCAGATCGCGGGCTCTGGCCATCTGAACTTGCGAAGAAGAGGTCACAATATAAGAACCTAAAAGCGGAGGTTTTGATGAACCCTGTAAGTAAAAGGCAGTGTTCTTGACGCCCTATATGTGGCTTTTGAAGCAGTTTCTCTTCTTTGATGGGGAATATCATGGCTACCATCTGTAACAATAATGTTAGACTCTGAAATGAAGTTCCAGTTTTCTCTTTACAAGTGGAAGTCCTTATTTTATTCAACCAACTTACTTCTGTTTAAATTTTTCTGATTGATTATGAATGTTGCCAAGAGCTGGCAGATTAAGTTAAACTAATTTTGGGAAATCAAGCATGGGGTGTTTCATTGAATACAACCTTTAATGGGTGAGGCTTGAATTACCTTTAATGAGCGAGGCTTGAATTTCCATTCCAATTCCCTGGTTTGTTCGGCAGTTCTGAGAGGGAGACTTCCCAAAATATGTTGGTGTTAGCCAAGAAACCCTTGATGCTACGACAACAATTTCTACATAAATTGATTCTTCTCTTTCCTAATCCCCCCACAAAACTTTCACCTTTCCGAGATTTGATTACATTTTAGCTGGTAAAATATGCTAAAATTCTCCATTTCTCACCTGTGATTCTGGTAATACACGATATACTGTGGGAAGAAAAAGTTAGAGAGTCTCTGTAGATAATTTCGAAGCAATTATTTCCAATTTACTGGGTCTTAGTCTTAGAAGAAAGTCCCAGCCACACATGCAGACACTCGTAAAATAAGTAAATTACATACAAGTCATCTTTTACACTTCTTTCTGATTGCCAATTTCCATATGTTGCGGTATCATGGCAATTCTTGGGGCATAGTTTTGTCATCTTGTTTTTGTGAGATCTTGACTTAGATGAAACATGCTGAAACACTGCCTCTTATTAATGACTTTGCTTTTTTCATCTTGAAATTTCTCATCTATTAAAAGTTATAGACTTATGAACTTTTTGTGGTTAGTTAGTCAGAAATTGCGAGAAGGTTGGATAAATCCACAAGCTGCGACAACGACGAGTCAAAATTTCAAAGGCGTGGCATACTCAAGCGATCAGAAATAACTCATGGGGAGCATCCCTTGAGCCTTGGAAAAAGCAGTATCTGGAATCAATTCTTTCAGGTACCAGAGAACATTGCAAATAAGTTTTGAATGGAGTGGCCAGAATATTGCTTTTTCTTTTGATAATTTGAGCTGTTGCTTCTCATTGGACGTAAAGGTTTTCGGTGGAATTAGCTGTGTGTTGTCAAAGGTGGAGGTATAAACATCTCGGGGGAAATGCAACCTTTTCTTGGTTGACTTGTCATTGGATTATTGATTTATCATGTAATGATATGTAACTTGAAGATATGTGAAACATGTATAATCCATTGAAGTTTTAATTTTTAAAGAAGGAAGTATGTCATTCACACTATTTGAAATGCCAGTTGGGTTTCTAGGTACACAAAGGTGATGATAAATATTGGAAGTGTATCAAATGCACAAAGGAAAAAGTAAAATCACACTACGTAGGAACAGGAGCGCGCAAAAGCTAACCACAATCAGAAATGAAGAGAAATTAGCTAAAACGGAGAAAGACAGATGAATAATCCAAAATTAAACCATAATATGGGCTTCGATAGATTTGTTTTTGATTATGCACTTAAGCTTGTCCTTTCTTACTCTTTGGCTCTAATTGTAAACCTGAAGGGTAGTACTAATCTTTGAGCTTCTTCCTCTAGATATATGAGGGTCAAGTGAAGTTGTATTCTACAAAAGAACATGCCTTGTGGGGAGACAATATGTAATTTCCATCTCTTTGATGTCTGACATGTAGAGGGTGAAGGAAGGAGATCGAACGTCCCTATATGGGATTCTTAGGTAATTTGACAACTAATTTGGGTGATCATTCCTAGAAATATGATAACTTTTATTTAATCACACAAGGCCTGTAAAACATATTCTTGGTTTCTTAATTTATCGGTTCAGTGTCTTTAATCATGCAATCTGAAAACTTATCATCTAGAGTTGGTCTTCCGCGATAGAATTTTTTTTTTCTTTTTACTTTCTGTTATCTACCTTGCTGAGCTTTAAATGAGTACGGTTTTACTTAAAAAACGCAAAAAAGTGTGCAATGGAGAAGAACTCGATAAAGTACTTAAAACTATATTAAAAAGTTAAAAAGATATAGAGAAAATATATGAGACAAATTCATCTAGAGTGTGTAGATATGGTGATGTACGTGAGTTTGACGCCATGTCATCTTCTCACCTCCTTTAATATATTGTTAAATTAGACAATCCTGTACTGATCTAGATTTAATTGCTATACATTGGTTGAGGTCCTGCTTCTGTTAGAGGTCTGATGTTCTTTTACCTGCCTAATGATCTTGATACTTAACGTCTGTTAACAATGAGCTATTTGTGTCAAAACCCGGTTTCTTATACTCCTATCTCTCTCTGTCATGTCTGCTACGAGTTTCAACGAATAATTCTCTCTCACTGGCTTGTAAACTTTATGTTGCTTTAAGTGTTAGTAAGTGTTTTGAACTGAGTATGAATATGTGTTCCTTTTCTTAGGATGCAGAGATTGTAGAACAAGTTGACCGTGATGTGAAAAGAACTCATCCGGATATGGACTTTTTTTCCGGAGATTCGGCATATGCAAAATCTAATCAAGTATGCTTGTTCAATTTGCTTAAATTATCAGAGGAATACATTTTTCTGATTTATTGTGTTTATAATCTCAGGATTCTTTGAGGAACATATTAATTTTGTTTGCGAAGTTAAATCCTGGCATAAGATATGTCCAAGGCATGAACGAAATCTTGGCTCCTCTTTTCTTTGTATTGAGAAATGATCCTGATGAGGAGAATGCGGTATGTCTTTCTCAGTCCTTTCTGCTCTGTCTTTAATTACCTTTAAATGTGATGTTTTGTATCATTTTCATGTTTCCTTTTCAATTATGGTATATCCTGTCTATTTTTCATGCGACTTATTGTGATCAATTGCCTCATGAAAGCTTTGTAGCCTACCTTCAGTGGTGAATGTATTACAATAGTGAACTTACTTGAGGAATTCAATAGTTTGTGGTTAGATGCAGGAGAATTTCTGGAAGTTTCTTTCTGATATTTTTATTTATGTGCCATTTTGCTTGCCCTCGTATAACACCACCATTTATTGATGAATAAACGTTCTTTTTTAATTTTATTAGATTATTTTCTTAAATGCTAACAGTGCTCGTCAAAGTTCCTCACCATCTCGTCGGCGTTAATTTTTTTAGTCATCATTCACTGCTTCTACTCATATGCTACTGTTAATCGTGATGTCCTCTCTCCATCGTCCGTACTGAGTTCGAGCTTGCTGAGTCTTGTTGGCAGCGACAGATGCAGCTAGCTACGGTGGTCGAGTGACTGATCTGGTGGTGGTGGGGGAGGGAGGGGATTGTTGTCTCGCATACACGTCTTTCTTTGCCTCCTTTTTTTATGTCTTGGTCTCAGTGTAAAAGATGTCAGAAAAGTGATTATCATCCATTCACTATTTAGTGTTTGAACTTGGATAACAAGTTGAGGTCTCTTAGGTTATGTTATCGCGACATCAAAGTATTAATATATGCAATTTGAAGTTTGGAAAATCATGTCACATTACGATACTTTCTTGTACAGTATTGTATGCTTCATTGTTTCTTATCTTTGCATGATGCAGGCTGCCACAGAAGCAGATACTTTCTTTTGCTTCGTTGAGTTATTGAGTGGTTTACGGGACAACTTTTGTCAGCAGTTGGACAACAGTGCCGTGGGCATCCGTTCGACAATTACAAGGTTGTCGCAGCTTCTCAAGGAACATGATGAAGAGCTTTGGCGTCATCTTGAGGTCACAACAAAGGTAAGACATAAACAAAGTTCGACCAATCCATCTCTCTCTTGGTTGAGCTTGTATGCTAGAATATTAACTACTTGTTCAAGAGCATAATTTAAGGCACATTTCTCCGCGTAATCATTCAGAACGACGTCATTCTGCAAGAGGAATTGTAATTTATCCATTGAGTTTCTTTAACGTACGTCACTAGGTTCATTCATGCGCAAAAGGTAATTGCAAGGTTCAGGCACAAATATGGGACTTAGTTCTTTTCTGCGAAAACATGTTTACTTCAACCGATGCATAGGGCGCAAGATCTATTTGACTGTCGGATATACAAGTCTGCTTGTTTAGATTTCACTCTCTCAAGTGGAGAGATCTTTCCAAATCTTCTAGGAAGAGGAGATTGCTTCTTTTCTGAAGGACACTATATAGTTTGATGCTGCAGAGCATATAGGCATAGGAATGCTAAAAAAGAAGCAACAGAATATGCATATCATGAATGAAAACTACAGAAGAAACAAAGCTCTGCATGTGTTGGATGCAAAAAGCAAGAACAAACCACAACTTTTTTTTTCCTCTTGGGATCAGGAATCACAGTTAGTGCAGCTCCTCTACTGACCTATGTAGTGGTTATCGTCAAAATGATTAAAGGGCAATTGATGAACATTGATTAATAACTGAGTAACAATTATTGAGTCTTTTTGCATTATGTGATGGGAATACTTTTATCTCATTGCTCTGCTATTATATATGATGTCCTTTACAATTTCCGTGCATCAAAGATCCCTCTGACGAAGTTTAGATATTGGACACCATCACTTTTAAATCCTTAGCATTGTAAATAACATGAACTAATCTGAGATTACTTAATAAGTTTTGAGAAAGATCAGAAGATATCAACTGTTTCACACCAGATGTTTACGGAAGTTACATGAGCCCTGAAGGAGTCTTCTCTGAGATAGAGCAGTACAATTCTTAGTCTTTGACGTCTTCATGATCTTTGTCATCTCCCTATTGAACCTTTGGAAGTTTTCATGTTGGGGAAAACTTCACATAAGTTGTACCTTGCTTTTCACTTGCTTTTATTATCGTATATCCGCACTTCTATTCCAAGGGATTTCTTTGTTTTTCCAGCATCTCTGGTAATTTTCTGGGGTATGTACATTTTTTTTGGTTTTAAATATACACGTAGAAACAAGTTCTCAACATGTAACCTAAAAAAAACTAGTTCTCAATATGTGTCTCAAGGTGCCTGGAGAATTCTAATCTCACAAAATACCTAAGTGAAGTGCCTGTACCTCTGTTTAAAAATATAAAGCTGTTGTCAGCCACTTCATGATGCAGGTGACACTATGGTTTGCCTCTCAAATTTTGTAATCATGCTTTATGTTTTCCTTTTAATTATTGATATATGATCTCCTTGAATTTATCCCAAGTCCGTCATTGCATAAGCCATAATCTTTCAAAAGCCTCACAATTGTGTTGAATATTGTCAGGTCAATCCACAGTTTTATGCGTTTAGGTGGATTACTCTCCTGCTGACCCAAGAATTTAGTTTTACGGACATCCTACACATCTGGGACATGCTTTTAAGTGACCCTGAAGGTCCTCAGGTACATATTTTGTTCTTTGTGATATGCTATTATGGTTAAGTAGATGTGATGGCACGATACTCAAAAGTCTCACTTGGTTATGGAGAATAAAGAAAAGATTGGAATGGAAATCAATGAAAGTTCACCAAAACCCTTTTCAAAGAAAACTCCAGATATAAGGGAATCGAGATAATTTGGAATAGGGGGAAAAACGAGACTAAGTAACAACTAGAGTCATCGTATGTAGACCTTTTCTTTTGATTATGAAATGATAAATTTAGGCAAAATATTACTGGTTAATGTAGAAATGCTCGTAGGGTTTTGCTTAATTACACATTGAATAACAAAGGGCGTTCTCCATGTTTAAGTAAGTATGTTTAAAATTTGTAGTTAAAATGTTGGAGAGCCTGTGAATTATTGGGGATCTTCCTCTGGAATCAGTCCATTGGAACCTAAACCAAACATTTATCTGTTGACATATGCCCCTAGAAGAAATGTAAGGAACATGGACTAGGAGGAAAAACAAGACTAATCAGTGCGTGAAGTCATAATTTCTATAAACCTGTTATTTGTGTACTTTAAAGGACTTATGTTAGATGTTTAGAGATTTAACCATCTTTAAAATGAGGGAATGCCGGTGAACTGTTTTAGGATATTCCTCACGAATGTTGCCTTTTCTCGTTGAACATTCAGACTCTGCAAATACTATTTACTATCCGGTCCGCCACAATGGTTATTATGTAGTGTTTATGTGACTGTAGTGTTTTGCTGAGTTAGTAAATGGATAATTCTCTGTTTGAAATCTGTCTATCGCCTTGAAAGCATGAAAGTAACAGAATATCTAATTGTAATTCCAGGAGACGTTGCTTCGCATCTGCTGCGCAATGCTGATTCTTGTACGGAGACGCCTCCTTGCCGGCGATTTCACCGCTAACCTTAAGCTGCTGCAACATTACCCCTCCATAAATATCAGCCATCTGCTGTATGTAGCCAACAAGTTGCGTTCTAAACCTTCAGCTTAATTTTTACCCCCACTTATATCTCCTTTTTCCTCCTTTTTCATACCTGGTTTTGCATTTTCAAATTTTTTTGTTGTACTGTAAATCCGTGTAAATTATTGGGTGTAAATGTCGGTCGACATAGGAAAAATTTCAACCCAAGAATAGACTCTGCTTTTGTCAGTTGGTATCGTTTGATTAGAGAGATCAGCCATTTTCCTCTTCCTTTTCCACCTTTTATTCTTACGAGCGTGCACTGAAGATCAAGAACTTCACCTCTACACACGAAAATGTAATTTGCCCTTTCTCTTTTTTCGTTTTGTTAGTGAGTTCCATGTGTAATTTGTTGCATTCATGAATCTTACATTACCACTTGATGCTTGATCATTTGATCAATAAGGCATACCGGTTTGCCTACTCCTCCTCCTTCTTCTCCCCTTTCTCGTCCTCGTTCTTCCGGCGGAATCATGACCGGATTACCGGCCGAATCCTTACGTGCCATAAGGGGAAAAAGAGATTCATATGTTAAAGAAATCTTTCAATTCTTTCTCGAACTTTGAAAATTTCAATGTGTCTATTTCACTCGCATCTTGCCTGTGATATATACTTTATAATCGAGTGAATAAACGGTTGATATTCCAACTTTACTTTTTTATTTATTAGTTTTGATAGGAATCTTTAAAAAAAAACACTTAACACACAACGAAAATACTAATATCTAATTGGAGAAAACTCATTTTTTCGAATGAGGGTAACCAATTTGGAAAATTCACTTCCTATATAGCTTACGTTACTATGTGAAAAGTTATAAATTTCTGTTTTTTTTCGCAAAGTATGATTATAAGCATAAGATGCAAGCAAAAACAAGAGGTGTGATTATAACAAAATGTGATTCTCATATCGTCTTCTTTTTCTTTTTGATCTGTTTGTGATGTGGTTTAATAATGCCATGTTAGCCACCACATAGGATTTTTAACTTTGCGGAAACTATGATGGCGGGTAAATGTGTAATATATGTACAAGTTTGAGGTTTTTTGTATCATCAAAATAAAGTTTGGCATAAGTGTTTCGTAGTTAGCATAATTTGAGGATTTTGGTGGTTTTTTCCTTAAAATTTATTATTCAAGTTTTTTTCCGGGTAAATAGTAATTAGTTTATATATGTAACTATGTCCTAGAGCAATTTTTTAATATAATTAGGAGCAACTAGTGGTCAACGTGAGCAATTATTGTGCTTTATTTTTCAAATCTAATCTTATTTTATTTTTTGCCCCAATTGAGGCTCGTGGTTAGTGAAACTACAAAAGTAATATAGACATTACTAATCTTACTTAATGAGGCATTTAGGACCATCTTTATTGACAAAATAACAAAAGAATCTTTTGATTAATTCGATCAACTTAGAATATCTAATTCTTCAACCCTGAAAAAGTACAAGTATGCGCGGCGCTCACATTGTCCTCGCAGGAAAAGAGGGTACTTGATCGATCATACTTTATATTCATCCCACATGAATACTAAATTTTATAGGTGTCAAGGATTTAAATTTCAATTTATGTAAAATTTCACAGGCTAAACTAAAACGCTTTTTAATAATTATTAACAACCAAACCCAAGGAACAAATTTACCAAAAAAAAAAAAGATCATATCAATAATCGAAAAACCATCCAATGAACATTAAGGTTCACGGAAGATAAGAGTCAATCAACCTAAACCCGGTCGTACTAATTCAACGACAAAAATCTTCATGCAAACCCTAGTTTCGTGAAAGCATGCAAACCTAATCAAACCTAGCATTACTGAAATTGCAAGAATGACAAAAAGTATAGTCAAATTATTTCCTAAAACTTTAGGGGAAAAATCAAGTTGCCTAAACTTTCTCCGGGATCGGCGGTCCATCTTCGATCACGTACTTCTTCCAGTACCAATGTTCCTCCCAGACTCGGGACATCTCCTCGATCGGGATGTTCCTCGTCTCCGGCAGGAAGAAGTAGACGAAGGCGGTCATGAGGGCGACGAAGAAGGCGAAGAAGATGAAGAGGCCGAACTTCATGTGGCAGAGCATGGTGAGGAAGATCTGCGCGACCAGGAAGGTGAAGAACATGTTGACGCACACGACGATGCTCTGAGCCGCCGACCGGATCTCCAGGGGGAATATCTCGCTCGGCACCAGCCACCCCAGCGGCCCCCACGAGAAGGCGAAGGCGGACACGAAGATGCAGATGCAGATCACCACGACGATCGCGTACCACCCGGGGAGGTTGTCGACTTGGCCCGTCACGCCGAACTTCCAGCCGATCAGGGACGCTACCGCCACCTGCGCAATCGCAGCCGGTTAAATTTTTTCGCAGAATATAGGCATCGGAAATTTGCGACTAGACACATAAAGGAACATCGAACACCATCCGAGCGTAACGAGTCAAAAGATGTTTCTGTACCTGAAAGATGAGCATCAACCCTCCGCCCCAGAAGAAGAGACGGCGGCGTCCCCACTTATCGGTCCCATACACGGAGATGAATGTCGCGGCCACATTGATGCCGCCGGTGATAAGCGCCGACATGAGCGACGCATCGTTCCCGAACCCGATGGTGATGAAGAGGACCGGCGCGTAGAACATGACCACGTTGATCCCGGTAAGCTGCTGGAAAATCGGGATGAACACCGACATGATCAGGTGTGGCCGGTACTTCCTCTTGATGAGGTTGCTCCACGGGTCCTTCACGGCCTTAGACGCCTCGCTCGCCTCCACGATGTCGTTGAACTCGGCCTCCACCTCGCAGTCGGAGACCCCCCGGACACGGCGGAGCATCTCCCGCGCCTTCGCGGGATTGCCCTTCTCGAGGATGGAGTTGGGGGTGTTGGGGAGGAAGAAGGCCGAGATGCCGATGATGAGGGCAGGCACCGCCGCGCCGCCGAGGCTCACGCGCCATCCTTCGCCGTTGGCCATCTTCTGGGTGAAGTAGTTGATCACGTTCGCGCACAGGTTGCCCACCGCGATGGACAGCTGGAAGAGCACGTTGAGCGTGCCGCGGTGCTTGTATGGCGCCATCTCCGATACGTAGAGCGGCACGGACTGTGAAGTTCAATTACACAGTCATGTTAGGTTAGGTCGATTTCCTTGCAATCTCAAGCATAACTCATAATTGCAATTATGCAATTACGGTTGATTAAAGTCTATAGGTATCATCATCAAATCTCTTCAAGCGTGTATATATACATGTAACCTACGATACGATGAATAAAGAAAACTTGTTACAAAAATAGCGCAGTCATCAAGGAGTTTTACCTGAATGGTGAAACCGACTCCGACGCCGAGCAGAATCCGGCCAATGATCAGCATGGCTATGTTCTGGGCGGCGGCATTTACGAGCGCGCCGCAGAGGAAGATGGTGCCGCCCAGCAACATGGACCACCTCCGACCCAAGCTCCTCGTCACCTTGGACGCGCCCAACGAAGCCACGAGCGCCGCCAAATAGAGCGACGACGTGAACATCGTCAGGGTGAAGCTGTCGAACTTGCAGTATTGGTTCGTCGACTTGTCCAGGGCCTCCTTCCGGTACACAGCAGGGAAGAACCTTCTCAGGAACGGAGGCATGGATGTCACGCCGCCTACGCGAATAATTTACAAGAAAGAATCTTAGTTTCAACATGAACGACAGAAGAGAGAAAAGGCTGATATAAAGCATTACCTGAAATACCGATGTCGTATCCGAATATCAACCCTCCCATGGCGGCGGCGATGCATGTGATGAGGACGTAAGCCGTGACTTTCCCAGGATAATGCTTGGGAACGCCGCCGTCGCTTTGGATGCCGAAACCACCAGCCATCTCGAACAAACTAAAGAAGACACAAAACGTAGATTTGAGGTCGATGGAGGGTCAAGACTGTATATATATAGGCGTTGGTGTGGAGACGTTTCTTCAATGTGGACAAACCAATCCTACTCCCACAAGGACTCGGTCCTGTGCAACGTTCCTGAGGAAGCGTGACTTCTAATGAAGATAGGAGGAACCGAGTAAAGTTGAGAGATAGTTCCTCATTAATAAAGATAGGGACTGAGGGAAGCTTGTAGGAATAGAACAACTGACGGACTCCAAGATCGTTTATTAGATAATGATCATCCCTGAATTCTCATCCTAACTGGGATCTATCTCTACAGGGAAGATTAGTTTGTGCAGTCAATTTGTAGGAAATCCTCTTGTATACGTCTATAATTAATCAAACACTTATCATAAGTCAATAGACAAAATAAAATTGAGGGTAAAAGCCATAAAAAAAATCCTGAACTGTGGCCTCTGTGACACATTTACTCCCAAACTCTCTTTTTGTGACGTCTAAAATCTTAAACTTGTACTCGTGTGACACATTTACCTTCCGTTGCAGTTCCATCAAACATTGCCGTTCAAAATCCTACATGGTGGCCGATGTGGCATTAGTAATGTTTTTTCGAGAATAATTGGTGCCACGTGAGCGCCACATCAGAATAAAGATTGTTAAAAGGGAAAAACCGAGAAACAAAACAAAAAAAAAAGAGAGGAGAAGAAAGTTGGGGACCAGAGGAGAGCGAGATTGCAGGTGGTCGGGGGTGTCTTAAGTGCTATTTCCCGTTCCGATTTCGGGGCGCACTCGAGGAGGAAGTCATAACGTGCGGTGACCGAAGGGCGGGAGGACAAATGGCCCTTAGCCACCCTCGACCATCTGCAATCTCGCTCTCCTCTGGTCCCGAACTTTCTTATTTTTTTTTTAATCTTTTTAGGTTTTTTTTTTTATCTACTTCTGATGTGGCATCACTTATTCTGAAAAAAAAAACATTAATAATACCACATCAGTCGCCGTGTAAGGTTTTTAACGTAGATCTTTGAGGAAATTGTGATGGACAGTAAATGTGTCAATACGTTATAAGATTGGTTTTGGTATGATTAAAAAAAAAAAAAGGTTATGGTTCGACGGACGATATAATTTGAGATTTTTGATGATTTTTTTCTGTAATTTTTCAAACATGGTATTAATTAAAGAGAGAATGAAAACACCCTCCCTCCCTCTTTCCTCGTCACTCTTCCCTCGAATCTCCTCCACGTAAAAGAAAGCTCCCCAGCGATTTCCGTCACACTGTACGACCTCAACCCAGAGAGAGAGAGAGAGAGAGAGAGAGAGATCCATGTCTCTCTCCGCAGCTCGCCGGCATCCATAACAGAGAGAGAGAGAGAGAGATTGATATTGGGTTCGTGTGGAGCTGTCGGAAGCCGGCGTAGTTCGTGTGCACCGTGGACAAATTTGGAGATTTCTTCAGGTAATGCGTGTCGCCCGCTGACTCTTTTCTCGCGAAACCGTTGCTGGGTTGCAGTCTGTCCCCAGTGGGGAGGTGGGGTTGTTGTGGTTTCCGTTTTCTTGATGTTCTGGCCACTTCTGTGGGGGTGGGGGGCTGCTACTGGGCTAGATCCGCGAAGCATGGGTGGTGTGATTCAGGCTGGGTTCATTGGGTTTTGAACATCTTCGGGTTCTCATGTTGGGTTCGCGTTCAATGATGCGCATTGGTTGGAATCTGTCGTCAGAACCAGGACCTGGCTGCTAATGTACTGATTGGTGCATGCTTTCTGTGGCGTATTCAAGTTCTGTTTTTTTTTTTTTATAAATAAAATTCAGTCGAATCCCATTGATGGCAACCTGTTTAACGTGGGTGCTGCTTATGGGTCGATGAACTTGGCTTTCGTTGATGGACGGTAAACTTCTAGTTCGATTACGGGTGGGATCACAATGTCTCAATAAGCAATGGTCGTGTGATGGTGTTATATGTGAACGACCACCCCGTTGAAGAACAAGGAAAATAAAAATTAGAGGGTACTTGGATTAGAGATCTTCTATTTCAATCATCATTTTCGCGAGTAACAAGCAGTATTGCATGTGCTATGCACGAACTCAGTTTCATAGATTGAAGTCCAAAACCTTACTGATGAAAAATAGACTGTTTCATGTAATTTGTGTAAATTTAGCAGGCATCTGGTAGCTTCAAATCAAGTGAACGTATCTGAATACAATTATGACTATGTGGTGGGTTCTGCTTTACTATTTGGAAAATGATGGGAAATCTAGGCCGACTTATCGATTAGTAAAATGCATGTATATCTTTTCGATATATCGTTCATATGTCACTTTAGGGTCAACTTTAGGCAAATGAATGGTTTCGATGTTTGATTTACCACCGGCGATCATTTACTTGACAAAGTGTCCCTGCATCACCATGGACTAAGTATACCATTAGTGGTGAAACCACCTGATATTGCTCGAGACATCTTATTTTGCATTTTATTCCACGTGTTTGTCTCTCAACATCTTTTTATTTACTTCGTGGAATTCTACTATTTGGTCCAGGATTTAGGACTCGTAATTTTAGGATTCAATTCACGGTTCACATTTAATTAGGAGACTACACTTAAGGCTCTAGGCCAGCTCCCTTTGTTGATTTCTTTTCCTTTGGTCACTCTGTCCATTTGGTGAGTTTACTTCTTTGTTGAGTTGACTTTCAACTTATGTCTTTGGGCATGATTCTGCTTTCAGTTGAACAGATTCTATTGTTCAGTTTCATGTTTGGCTGTTGAGTTTTTCATCTTACCTCTTTTAGGCAATGGATGCAGGCTTCAAGAACTTAATAGCATTAACAAAGGCTTGTTGAAGGATGGAAGATGGAATATCAAGTTTCTGGGGTCCTGTTACATCCATTGATTGGTGTGAGAAAAATTATGTCCACTCTTCATATATAGCGGAATTTTTCAACACGGTATCAAACATACCTGGCATACTTTTGGCCCTTATTGGCCTGGTAAATGCCTTGAGGCAACGTTTTGAGAAGAGATTCAGTGTCCTGCACATATCCAATATGATACTCGCCATTGGTAGCATGCTTTATCATGCTACACTACAACATGTGTAAGTATTTCTCTCGATATATCCCGAAAGTGCTGTCTCTTGCTAAGTTCCTCTTTAATTAGTTGTTGAAATCATGCCGAATGTATGGATATATTTAATGTCCACGCGCCCTCTAGTTTGTTCACCAACACTCACTGTCACAAAGCGGCTGCATACAAGCTGATGGAAGTGATCAAGCAAAAGCCTTCCATAGCTCACAATCCTTCTAACGGGTAATGTCGACCGGCTCCGATTAGCAGCTGATGTTCTACCTCCTTCTCTCCCGCCCAATCCTCTCTCAAGAGAGTCTCATTGGGCCCCTCTCTCTCCACCCGCCTCAGCTCTTACTCCTTGTCTTCCAGAACTCGACCTTATTGCAGCAGACCTCATCAATTTTTCGATTACCTCCCTCACTAGTGCGGTGAACTGCGGCCTGCTCATTGAACCTCATGGAGGGTCACGACATACAATAGATACGAGAGTGAGAAGCGATCTCGCCTCGCCATGGTCCTCGTCGCTGCGTTAAACCGCATGGAGGGCCTCGATGAGACCATATATATTTGTACGGTCTGTTGTTTATGGAACTTTCAACTCTCCTTCTTTCTTGGAAAAAATGAGAACTTTGGTCGGATCAGAAAACAAATATATATGAGTTCTTTCTCTGTTGTTCGCCAAGCGAGGAAACATCAGCCCAGAATAAATACAGAAACTTTGCAATTTGTTTGTGATGTAACTCCCACTCCCTAATAGTGAAAAACCGGCAAAAAGGTATGTTGGAATTGCACCAACCAGGCATATTTCTGTCTGTGATGACTTTTCACTTGTGAATCATTGTTTCTTCAAATATGTGCATCTGTTCTTAGGTTTAGCAGGATTATCCTTGAAATATCATTTAAGAAGGAAGCTGCAGTTGGATTCGAATGTTGCAGTGTGATTGCCCATTGAAAGGAGACAATGGAGTTGGCGATTAGAGATTATGGGAATAACGTATTCTTGTAGTAGGCTATTGCAAGCTTAGTTTGCACAAGCCATCTCTACTATAATCAGAAAGATCACTGTCCACAATAATTAGGCTGGTTGTATTTGAATATTTTCTTAAAATATAGCCGTTAAAGGTCCATATGATGATCTTCATTTTCTGGAATGCCCTTGTTTTTCCTTTCATACGGGGGGTCGAATTTTTTGTTACCACTGAGTAAAAGGCAACTTCAGTATTCATTGGTTATAGAACGTGGAAGACCTGACTCACATTATGCACCTATCTACCCACATGACACTATGCACATCACAAATTGAAGAAGACAAATACAGAAAAACTTATATTTGTGCAAAATATGAATCCTTTGCTGGATGATCATATTGAGGTGGTGCTAGCTTGTATCTATGAAGTAAAACAGGATGCAGTGTGATTCCATGGACCAGGGGATCTTTGACTGAATTTAAGCTTATCGTGATTTGGAGTTTTGTGCCTGAGTTAATTTTGGTCAAAATAGGTTAGATTGATGAATTATTTTCTTCCTGTAATTTCTCCAATCATACTTGAGAGACATTTTTATTTCCTTAACCAAACTTTAATTTGTATTTTCGATTCGTCGAATATTCCATTTGATTGCTATGGTTATCTAACTGGAAAGTAATTTTGTTTTATGCAGTACACATCAAGGAGATGAAACGCCCAGGGTATGGGAGATGCTTCTATACATCTATATTCTGCATTCACCAGATTGGCACTACCAAAGTACAATGCCAACCTTTTTGTTTCTTTATGGTGCTGCATTTGCCATCCTCCATTCACTAGTACGCTTTGGAATTGGCTTTAAAATACATTATGCAATACTCTGCCTCCTCTGTATCCCTAGGATGTACAAGTACTACATCCACACAGAAGATGTCGCCGCAAAGCGTCTTGCAAAGTTATATGTTGCAACCATATCTCTCGGCAGTCTATGTTGGCTTTTTGATCGTTTGTTATGCAAGAATATCACTCAATGGTATATTAATCCCCAGGGTCATGCTTTGTGGCACGTGTTATTGGGGTTCAATTCCTATTTTGCAAACACTTTCCTGATGTTCTGTCGGGCCAAGCAACTGGGATGGAATCCAAAAGTTGTTTGCTTTTTGGGAGTTCTCCCATATGTAAAGATTCAAAAGCCAAAGACGCAGTGAAAGATAATTCAGTTACGGTCTCAAAAGCGGAGGTAGCCAGGTAGTGTATGGTTTGGCAATTATGACAACAAAAATCACCTTTCTTTTCCCCCCTTCTAGTCTTATGTAGAGGGCAATTGGATAGTCATGCAATAGTTTGGGATATTTATTAATTTGATTTGTGAGCTAGATTTTTTGTCCGGTTCTAGGATGAATTATTTACGGTTTGAAGTCAGTCATTTTGACAATGTGGTAAGTGGTAGCACCTACATGATTTTAGATCAATTTGCAATTGCTGATGCTGCTATTTCCGCTTCAGTAGTTGCAGTCTTGTTTTCTTTTGGTTCTCTGACTCCTCTTTTGGTACATAGCATATGTGATATACTTTTACAATTTGGAAAGTGCAGTGCAAGAGATCTCACTCTGTACTTCCTTTTTTCCTTAAACTGGACAATGTTATTAACAGTTTTCAGATGCTATAGTGGATCCTATAATCAGTCTAAGTTGACTACGACAAATACAGATTGTTAATTGATATTGGCTTTTCTCCTGGAACTGTGTGATTGTTAATGTGCAGTTATGTGAATTTCATTAGCTAATAAAGCAGGCATTTGAGTTTTGAGGTTGGTATATCAAATGTCTCTTGTGAGCATGACAGACTCTTTTGAATCAACCTAGCTCTTACCGGGTTCAAGGAGATTCTCTCAAAATGGAGAATGAGATCAGTTGATAAAGCAGAAGAAATATGGCCAAACGTGGGTCGGATGTTTACAGGTGGGATTGTTCCTTCTTCTGGATGCAGTTTCAGGTCATGGTTGAGGGATTGAATTCCAAACCCCTGTCCTGATAGTTTCCCGCCAATCGGTCGTAACCGTACGCAAGCTTGCCCGGTGCAATCGTTTTGGTTTGTTATCTTTCAGGTATATGAGCCCATGGAGTTTTGTCTTGGTAACGGTTTATCATCCTTCTTTCCTTGTCGCATCCCATTGTTTACTAAATGACTGGCAAGTTATGACTGTTCCTTGGGCTGGAAAGATGAATGTGGATGGGTGAAAACAAGAAATGATCAACATGTCTCATTTTCGTGCTAATTTGCACCATTGCCTAAGTTGCAAAATGGGCTTCGATGGGTCATAAATATGAAAGTTCACCCACATGGTAAATTAATAAATATTAAATGAAAAGCGTATATATTTGTAATTCATTGATTTGGAAGCTGGTTGAATGAAGGTATCCCCCGCCAAAATTAGAAGAAAATATGATCCTGTAATATTTATCACTTTTAGTGATGGCTTCGCTTTCACTCTTGGCCAAATCTTTAAACTTTTTTACATGGCCATCCCCAGGAGCTTGATTAAAGTACATTGGGAATGTCTCCAGGAGACCCACTTATCTGCAATATCATATTCGGCAGCTAGTTTTATAAAAGGTGCTAATTAGCACGTATAAGCCTGTGTTCCTGTTCAAACGAAAAGAGCAGCACCCATCAACTTCAATTCTAGCACCAGAGCAACCTGTGAAATGTTTTGGAAAAAGCAACAGAACTAGCGTGCATCGCTTGTGGAGTCCGAGAAGTAATCCTGATTCAAGTCCAAACGACTTGGGGATCAAACACAACCCGGTTGCGTTCTAACACGAAATACCACCTCCACATAAATCTGTTCACGGTCCCTTCTACAAATCACTCAACGTAGTACCGATCGGACAGCATATGCAGATCACATTCATGAAGAACGGGACGAGTACATGGACAGCTTTAATGAACATTTCGCTGGGGACAAGAAACGTAGTTACAAAAGTTCATGTGCAGACGAGTCCTTTGTCCATATAAAAGCGACAACAGCCGTGCCCCCAGGCGAAAAGGACCGAGTCCTGGTCAAGTCCAGCCATCACATCCCGGGCAACTCCCTCAGTGCTTTTTCACCCTCTGTCAACATCCCTCATTTGACCATAAAAAAAAAAACATCCCTCTCATTTGAACCGTCATTAGCATTTCTTGATGATTAATATTGTGGCGCATATATATAATCATCAACCCAATTTCATCTTGGGTCGCAACTCTTCCATCAAAATCCGGCATTAAGGCCCCATGTAAGCTGCTAGCCCGCTTACCCATTTTTGATCTCCTTGTTCAAGTCTCTCTCTCTGTCCAAACCGTACAAAAAGAGAGCTGAAAGTACCCCTCCCACTTCCTCTTCTTCTCCTACATTTCCAAGGAAAAACAAGGAAAGAAGTTGAAAATTACAGCCCAATTTCCTCCTCTTCTTCTTCTCTTGTTCAAATCTCTCTGTCTGTCTCTCGCTCTCTCGCCTGCACGAAGATGCCAGCTTCTAGTAACAACAACGAAGCGGAAAAAATAAACGTCGTGGTCAGGGGCCAGGTAAGACTTCTTCTTCTTTACTCTCTTCTTTTCTAATGTCTTTTTTCTTTCTGGGTTTGTGTATCTTTGATGTATGCACAGGGCTGTGATGGTGTCATGATCTTGCTTCAATTTCTTCAGTGGGTATCGCCCTTTAATGCTTTCTCTTTATTTCTTGTCCCTGTTTAGCTCGATTCATCACGACTCACTTTCTGGGTACTTGTTTGTGTGTTTGTGTCTGGGTCTGTTCGTTGTTCTGCTTCTTGAGGTTAGCTCAGCTAAAGATCCCATTTTTATTGCAAGTGATAGTCGAGGTTTCAGTTCTTGCTCCGACAAGCCAGGACACATGAGCAGATCATGCGATTTTCTTGTGCAGCTACAGTTGTTTAAACACAAAATTTAGGAGAAATACGGGATGAGGGCATAGAGTTCGCAGGGTTTCCATCAATGTGGCATCCTATAGCAAAAACTCAGAATGCCCTAAAATGGAAAAGAAAGAGTTCAAAGTGGAGACTTTTGTGTTTTAAAACATTTGATGAGACACCATATTGGCCATTTGTCCTGCTTGATGCTGATCAGCTCGTGCATTGCGAATTCGATGTATGATGCTGACTGCGGGTTCCTCTTTGTTCCTTCCTTTAGCTCGCGCAGGTCAATGTCATAAATATAGGAGTTATAGTGATTCGTGCACTTAATTTCTCGATCTAGTCTCTAGTATCAAAGTGACAGATGCAGGAAGGAGAAAACTGTATCAAGTTCCTCGAAGTAGAATCAACAGAGGGAAATTAGGAACGGTGGTAATGAAGATGTAGCGATTAGAGCGATTTCAAATGGGAAGATTACATCCATTCTTCACATAAGCCGCGTGCTTAGTAATTCGCTTTGATGCATGTTCTGTTTCTGCGCTCAAGACATCTTATTCGACTCGCAGGACAATCGCATCCTTTACTTCAAAATCAACGGGACAGTGAGGCTATCAAAGATGTTCGCAATCTACTGTGAAATGCGGCAACTGGAAGTGCAGACCGTGCAGTTCCTCTACGAAGGCAATCGCATTACAGGCAACCAAACCCCTCAAGGAGTAAGTATCGACTATCCTTGGATCATCTTCTACAGAACGGAATAGCACCTAGGAAGTCATCCCTATTTGATCGGTAACTGTTTTCTCGGTGACATAACTTAGTAGTTGCACTTGGGATTCATGATTTTTGTCGCAACCTGCAGCTGGGATTGGAGGACGGCGCCGAAATCTGCGCCTTTGTCCACCAGTCTGGAGGCGGAAGACAGCAGCGCGGTCGCTGCACTTCGTGCTGAAAGACTTCTCTCTGCAATGAGAACAGCAAGTGTTGTGTATACCCCGAAACTCGGTAGATGTTCATGCGCTGCAAATGACTTTTTGATCTGCATGTTAGAATGATTCTGGCTAATCTTTTGTGTTGCGTTGCTGCACTATCTGGATCTTCCTATGCTTTTTAGTGAAAGATTACACCACTCTGTAACTATGTCCAGCTAATTGAGAACATTCTGATCATTGTTCAATGGTGCAATTATGTCTAGCTGTTTTGACAGTTCTATTCAGTTCTTTCATTGATAAACCAAAAAGAGAGACTAATGTATTTAATGTGGGAAAATTCAGTCCTAAAGCCATTTTGATGGCATACAGCGCATTGAAAATTGTGAAATTTCCTTAATTGATTGCTTAATAAACTTCACGACGCATTCTTTAACGAAATGACTAATCATATACTTTGATGAATTTAATCCAACACGAAAGGGACACCCTGGCACAAGAAGTCGGAAGTAATTTTTCTAGCAAGTTCATATTATTTCTTTTTAGGGATAAACATATCAGAGAGTTTTTAAACCTTGTAAAAACTGCAATCAAGTTTTAATATATATTCAATTAGTGCAATTCACTCAAATCTGACTGATAGAATACGCTAATGATATATTTCGAGTGATAATGATATGGCGCTCACGTAGAAGAAAGCTTAAAATGTTAAAGTAAAGAAAAAGAAAAAAGCCCATATCTAGATTAGAGAACGCTATGGGGTGCCGGCAAGACCGCCGGGGCTCGGCGAAGGTCGGCAGCTGCTTGCATAGCCTCAACGAGGATCGCAATTGCTCGTAAATGGTCAACGATGTTCTAGGCTCAAGCTTAATCTCCTTCATCGGATTAATCTCTTTCAAAACATTCGGTAGCTTGAAAAAAATTGTTAGAATTTTCCATCGCTCAAAATGAACGGAGCTAACGGAAGCCCTCGATTGCACTAATTGGATAATTCATAGGACTTGATTGTTTTTTTCAAGTTTAATGATTTGATTGTACTTCCGTCACAAATTTTGAAACTCTTAACACACCTATTTTTTCTTTTTTATATAATTGGCTCGACATATCTTTAAATAGTTTGTTGGTCAATCTAGCAATTAACGTACTTAACTTTGGAATTGTTTTGTTTGTTACATGGAACATGAATAATTTGAGAAATATTTTCTTTAAAGCGGTCGTTTGTATTACTTGCAAAAATGAATTAACGAAAAATATTTTCGTCCAAGAAGACATTGAGATATAAATTGTTGTCGAATATTTTTCACTAATTATTCATTGCAAAAGATACCACCGATCATTTTTAGTATAAATTTTTTAAAATTATTTATTTTTCGCGAAATGGACGAGACTTAAAAATAATGAATTTAACTCTAAAAAAGAATCAAATGAAAAGAATCCAGAAGATGTCATGTCAATTAGCCTTTAGATTGGAATTTTCATAGACATACAAAAGATGGACCACGTTGAAGATTGTCTTAGCTAACCCTAATTCCGATCAGCTATGCCCCCCAGAAAAAAATCTTTTGGCAGACCCTTAAAAGAAAAGGTGTGGAGTGCTCAAGATATCAAGTGAGAGGGTCCCAATTTTTTCTACCAAAACTGAAGCATTACCAGCAATATATATGCCAACCCAAGCTCAGAAAATTAGCCAGATACAAAAGATCGCCGAGCCCGCAACCGCCGAACGTCGCCGGGAAGCTCCCAACGGCTTCGCGGCGACGGAAGGAGTCGCTCCCGCATACGGCACCCCCCCTACAGTGCCGCCGTAGCTCGTGGGAGGAGACAAGATGGGGATCGTCGGCGCGTTCGGCACGGTGGTGGTCGGTGTCGCCGGCAAAGCCGTGGTGGGCGTCGTGCCCGTGGTCCCTCCTGCTGTGCTGAAGATTTTTCCAAAGGAGGGAATTAGACTTTGGACCCAAGCTTCTAATTCTAGCTAGGATTTGAAGTATGTGCAAGCAAAAATATAGAGACTGAAGGGTTGGATCACATACTAGTTTGGCAATATATGCACAAATCAAATGAAAAAATGTGTAAGAATGCATCTGAAAATGCATACAATACACTACACTCACTGCCAGATATGCAATGGCCAAGATGTGTGCTCAAGTCAACAATGCCAAATTTTTTACCAACTTGTCTTTTTGGGCTTTCTTTTCCTTTTTGAATCTTGAGTTGTGACACTAAAGCTTTAGAGAGGCCAGAAGAATCAAGCAAAGCAAAGCTTCCCAGTGAAGGCATTCCACTTCTGCAAGATGCCCTTTTTTCAATATCATTTTATTTTATTTTATGCTATTTCATTTTATTTTTTTGGGCAATTGGGGTTCAAAGTGGGAGAGAGGACCACCTGCAAAGAGAATGTCGTACCTTTTTTCTACTGCTCGAGTCTTTTTTTGTCAATTGCTTATCGACTCAAATTCACAGCTTTCCTTTTATACTTAGTAATTACAATTTTAATTTCATTTCGAAGTCGATCGGGCAAGAATTTTCCATGGGTGTATCGCCACAAATCATCGAACTCTTCGCATAAACTCATAATGGCATATGTGTAATCAACTTGCCCACATGATGCATGTAGATCCCTTGAAAAAACGCGCATTTTTAAATATCCGAAATTACCTTAATAAGTTCTCCTACGATGAATGCTTTTAAACCGGTCGGACAATACACAAGAAAAAAAAAAAGCATGCCAATTAAATATAAGTTTAGTCTAGACTTAAGAAATAAATGCATGGATTTTACTCAAATCACATACTTTACGCAAAGTTTGTTTAGGAAAATGAATTGCATATTGGTGTAAAAAGCTCTTTTTGAAAAATGGGAGTACAAACCTCAAAGCCGGACCTTGAACATCACACCAGCTTAGGAAAAAGCCAAAAGAAAAAATAATAAAATTTGGACATTGGACATGGAAATCCACGTCAGCTGGTCAAAGAATTTGACCTCAAGGGGCCCCACATGCTGCCTTAGTACTTAGCAAAAGATCCTCGTTGATCGCTGTGTCCCAACTTCAAAGAAAAGACTGTCCTTACATGCTGAAAAAAAAAAATGTATTTCCACGAGAGTTTTTCTTTTTTTCTTCTTCTTTTTTAGAATTTAAGAGATAAAAAAAAAAGAAATTGGGTGAGATCTATAACATATACGGCTCGAATACCACTTGTTTTTTTTTTTTCAAATTATCTTATTTTATAATTTTAAGAAGCGCGCCGAATATTCCTCCACGAAAATACCCAACTTTTTACCAGAAAAATAACCGAGTCCTTACGACCTAAATAAAATGGAACAACATATCCAAAACAGCCCTAGTATAACAAATCTTAACCGAATGAATGATGTAATAACATTACATTATTAAGCTAAAAGTGGGATTTGCCTCACTTATTCAGAATTCTTTACCAGGAATTTAAAAAAATTAAGAGTACAATCATAATTAAACATATCCTAAGAAGTCAAAAATACCCGCTTTTTCTGGTTCAAAAGATAACCTACCCATCGGAGCTAAAAACTCATTTTGTTAAGCTTAATCACAATGACTAGATTTGGAATATCGATAGTTACAACGCACAATCGAGGAGCCTACTTTGAAATCCAGTACAAATTCGGCGATTCCATATAACCATACCGAATGCGATGGTATGACACCATCTAATGAACAAACTTGGTTACAATCACTTTCTTACTTTGAATCACATTTTCTGGTTGATTATAAAGATTTCATGTTCTCATACTTCTGTCCTCTCCGCAAAATAATAACTCATGAAATGCAAATCCACCTTTTTTTCAAAGACACTTGCAATGAATATTAGTCACCCCCAATAAAAATTTCAATGAAGTCATGTCCAAACAACTATGAGAATCAGTGAGGTAAGGCAATATTGCACCTCAAATACACACGCGAAATACTTTTCTGGGTTTGAAAACGCATTGACAGAGCTGGTCGAACGTCCTAAAACCCTCGTTGCTTAACATTTTCCTTCTTGATTCCCACAACACAGGCTGATTTCATATGGATTATCGAGGGATTTTCTCTTTCTTTTCATTTGAGTAAAGATTATCGGGTGGGGGTTAGGGACATGGCAGGAGTACACCGCTAGCTTTTATCAGAGAGAGAGAGAGAGAGAGAAACAGAGAGCAGAGAGTTGTCCTGTAGAGAATGCGACTGAACACCGACTTTGAAAATTTGGACAAGTCGATGCAAGCTGAAGAAAGAAAAAGAGAGATCGTAAGATCTCGATAAACCCCACAAAAAGAAGAGAAAAAGAAATTGAAATAAGACGCAAACATGGATCCTGAAAAGCAGTACAGGTCGGTGGCCTGATGAACCCCATCACCCCTCCAAGATCTAACCCTAAACCACCTTTAAATTATTGGTCACCCTTTATTAAGTAAAACCTTATTATTAACCACATATGTGAGTTTACATATGCACTTATATTATATATATTAACAGTGGTAATATAGACCCTAGTATTGCTCAAAACCCAAACGCTGAGTTACAAACAAACGTAAATATGATATCATGCATGAGAACCATCAGCCAAGAACGCCATTCACGCACGTAGATACGTTTACAAATCGCCTGCGAACTACTAAAACATCCGGCACGCTCGCATCCAATGACTTGAGTTAGGTTGCTCTGTTTGTCCATTTCTAAACTACTGAAGAGTATTAATAGTGCCATTGCGAAAGTAAAAGGAAAAAGGAAAACAAGAAACTGCAGAGACTCTCAACGTACCCCACTCCTACCGTAAGATGCAGGAGATGAACACACACAAGAGAGAGAGAGAGAGAGAGAGAGAGAGAGAGAGAGAGAGAGAGAGAGAGAGAGAGAGAGAGACAAACATACCTTAGAGACGATGGATACACGCACGATCCATAACCTGCGATAATCATTAAGAAGAATGATGAGCCATGATCTAACCGGGTATCGAGAAAAAGTGAGTTTGAAGACGTAAATTCATTTTTTATTGCTATCGCTTCGATATGCGTAGCATTATTTTGAGGGCGGAAAAAGAGAGAGAGAGAGAGAGAGAGAGAGAGAGAGAGAGAGAGAGAGAGAGAGAGAGAGAGAGAGAGAGAGAAGGAAGGGAGGACAGACTGGGGTCGGAGGCGGCGACGGTGGCGGTGCCGGCGAAGTCGCAGCTGCCGGGAGCCATGGCCTTGCGCTGGTAGAAGCTGTTGAAGGCGTAGGAGGCGTGGGCTTGCAACGAGTTGGGCAGGTAACACAGGCCGCTCGCCTGTATCGGGGCGCAGTCCGCCCCGGACCCGCACGCGTAGTCGAGAGCTCTCTGGAGCGCCTGCTCGCTGGCGTCGCTCCGGGCCACGCACCACGTGGCGGCCCTCGCTGCGGTTGCCGCCGCTGAGAGGATGAGGAGGAGGAGGAGGAGGGGGAACGGCGGCGAGGGGTGTGAGGACAGCGGTGGGGGTGGCGGTGGAGCCATGGAGGGAAGGTGTTATAGTGGAGGTGCGTGGTGAGATGAGGTTTTGCGGGGGGGATCTTTAGGCTTCTAGGGAGTAAAGGAAGAGAGAGACAAACTTTGCTCTGCTGATAATTTTTATTTTTTTGCTGTTCCTCTTCTTATTCTTCTTTTTACTTTTTCGGCTTTTGATGATCTGTCTGGTTCTACATTTATATATATTTTTGCTGATAATATTTTTTTCCTTTTTTTTGGGATTTTTTTTGGGGGGGTCGAACTTTGGAAGAATTTGAATGAATCTCATTGGCATGGCCTCTCTTTCATTTTTGTGGAGCTAACCTTGCGAGCGGCAGCCCAATTAGCCCGCCCGTTAGCCCATTAACCTTGTGGACAATGAGCTAATGCTGCTCTCCTAACGACAGATCATGGCAGGCTAAATGGCAAAGCTGGTTATAATGCCGAGGTGATCTACATATCTTGCTCGAGGAACTCAATGCCCCAGCTAAAAGGCATGGTGAACTCACCATGTTGCTCTTCTCCAAGTGGCACGCGCCCTTATGTTGACTAGGATAGTCTCCAATGGTGAGCATCGGTACAAGGTCAACCCGGGACCGATCTTAGACTGGCCCAACCCGGCCGGTCCTGGTCAAATTCTTAGGGAACTAGGTCGGTCATTGGTTTTAGAACCCTTGAATCCTACATTGTGCAAGTTGATCATGGGAGTTTAGGGTTAGTCTGGGTTGGACCAACCCTATATATATTATATGCTTTTATCTACTCTAAACCCTAGCACCTCCTCTTCCGTTTTTTTTTTATGTAGTTGATTTTGCCGTGTAAATTAGAAAGTAGAAAGAAACCCGACCCTAATTCAACCAAAAAAAAAATTGAAACCCTCTTCGCTCGCCTCGGCCTCTTGCCTCGCTCGTGCTCGCCTCGCTACTCGCCTCTGGCCTCTTCTCGTTCGCCTCACGAGTGTAGCTTAGCTGGATAAACATACTTGATTAAGTATTAATTATGTGTGTTGTTTGTTTTATTTTCAGGTGTTTGAAAGTTGAAGCGATCATATAAGAATGAACAAGATATGAAGTTGTATAATTCATGGTTTATATTACGTATTTTGAACTTCTTATGGTTTAATTGTATTTCACGTGTTCGTTTTCATGGTTTGTTGCTTTTAGCAAGTGTGAAATATATGTTATTATCTTTTCTTATATTTATGCTTGATACGTACTGGTGTTCATAGTTTGATTGCTCAATGTCGCATTGTTGATGTATATGTAATTTGAAATAGTATACTTGTCCTTTCAAGCAATACAAAAAATGAACAAAAAAATAATTGGTTGATCCCGGGTTAACCCTAGAACCGGACAAGACCTATAGGGTTGGTCTGATCCTCGGTCCCAGGCTCAACAGAGTCAGTCCTCGCTCCCAAAAATTAGGGACCAACACTGTGCGGGTTGGTCATTGAGTTAGTGCTAGACCGGTCCAACCCGGACCATGCTCACCCCTAATAGTCTCCATCCATTAAGTAAAATTTGTCCCTTCATGTGAGGCCTTGGTCTAGCGATGATGGTGTGAAGTGATAGCGAGTCGCCCGCAACGAGGGTTTGACGAAAATTAGATGGGAGGGAATGTCATGTTCCAAGTTCTTCTCAATGTGCGACACTGAGCTTTGCATATCATCAAGGTATAAGTGTGAGAAATGCAGAACAAATGGTACATTTGATTTGTGAGAGTGATGTCAGGGTGTTTGTGTTGGGACTTCGAAGATACAATGACTGTCATCGTAGCTTCGAAGCCGAGGTTGGCCATCCGTACAAAAAGTGGTCGACATTCGATGACAATTATTCCAATGAGGTCATCTCTAGCAAAACACATTTGTTATCCTGAAGTACCCATCGTGTCTCACTTGGAGTATTAGATGCCCAAACTAAATATAATCTTCCATGACTAATTTATGAAGGTGCAACTCACCAACTCTCAAGCAAGGAAAATTGGCCCAATTTACTAATATGCCTAATGTTTCACATAGGGGTGTGCAAAAAAATTGGAAACTGCCTAAATCGAACCGAGCCGACCAATTTTAGGAGATTCTCGATTCCAATAAATGGGAACCGATGAACACTGGTCGAGTTTCCAATTCTAGTTCCCCGGAACACCTAAACCGGACCGGTAGATATATGTATATATTTTTTAATTTTTATGTTTTGAAAACCCTAGTTAGCTCTCTCTTACACTCGCTACTCCTCCTTTGTCACTGCTCAATCCTCTTCACACACGCTCTCTCTTAAAACAAAACCCTAGCCTCAGGTTGCCTCTCAGTCCTCCTCGTGCACAATCCTCGCAATTCTCTCGCTTCATCTCGCTCCCAGTCGCCTGTCAGCTGAGCTCTCATCTTTGGCCCTCTATGGCAGCATCATAGTCGTCGCCTCGCCTCTGGCTCTTCCTCCATTGCAGTCACGAACTCGTCTCCCCACCCACTCTTTGTTCTTGGTCACCTCCGGCCTCGTCGCTCCCTCTCTCACTCTCGCTTTGGATCACCTCCAACCTCGTCGCTCCCTCTTGTAAAAAAATGATTGTTGGCTGCAAAACTATGGACTTGTGGAGAAAGAAATTTCTGAAGAGAGGCTTTATTCTCGATTTTGTGTCTTCCTTACAAGCAATACAATGATTTATTTATAGGTTGTAGTCTGCCCTTCTAAAACTGAAATAGACTTAATTATAGGCAATTCTATTAATAGCCATAAACCAAAATTAAAACCCATTATCACCCGTAAGAGTAACTGCTGACTCTTGACTTTTCATTTTCCTATAAAACTGCTGAAATAACGCACTAATAAAAAACGGACATTTAATGTTTATTCAACAAAACTCCCCCATAAACTTAAATGTTTCTGCCATCTTTCATGCCGATCAATCTTTTGCAGTTGTCGAGAAGTATCGTCGGTAGCGGTTTCGTGAAGATATCCGCGACTTGGTCCCGACTTGCCACGTGCACTAATTCCACACTTCCTTCCTTCACTTGATCTCGGATGAAGTGAAAGCGAACGTCAATATGCTTGCTTCTCTCATGATTCACCGGGTTCTTGCTCAACTCAATTGCTGATTTGTTGTCAACTCGTATCACAGTCGCCCTGAGTTGTTGTTGCTCCAACTTGCCCAACAAATTTCTGAGCCATATCGCATGACGTACACACAAAGATGCTGCCACATATTAAGCTTCACATGTCGAGAGTGTCACGATCGGTTGCTTCTTTGAAAGCCAGGTAAACGCCGTGTCACCCATAAAAAACACATAACCCGATGTGCTTTTCCGATCGTCCAAGTCTCCGCACCAATCGCTGTCGGAGTACCCAACCAACTTGTAATCTGCCACATTTGTATAGAATAACCCGAGTGACACTGTTCCTTGGATGTACCGTAGGATTCGCTTCAACGCCTTCCAATGTGAATAAACTGGCTCCTCCATGAACCGACTTACAATGCCGACACTTAATGCAAGGTCCGGCCTTGTGCATGTGAGATAGCGAAGGCTTCCCACTAAACTCCGGTATTTGCTTGCGTCGACTCGTTCTCCTCCATCAAACTTAGAGAGTTTTGCACCCGGTTCCATTGGTGTTGAAACCGGATTGCAAGACTCCATCTTATACTTCTTCAAAATCTCCTTTGTATATGCCTCCTGGGATACAAAGATACCCGTCTTTCCTTGTCTTACCTCCAGACCAAGGAAAAACTTCATCAAGCCCAAATATGTCATCTCGAATTCCCGTGTCATTGTGCTCTTGAACTTTTGTATCATTTCATTATTATTCCCAAAAAAAATGAGGTCATCGACATAAAGAGCAACAAATAACATATTACCTCCACTCTTCTTCACATAAAGGGCATGTTCGTAGGGACATTGCTCGAACCCGTTCTCCTTGAAGTATGTATCGATACGAGTATTCCACGCCCGCGGTGCTTGCTTCAACCCGTAAAGTGCCTTCTTCAATTTCAACACCTTCTTTTCTTCTCCGATTTTCATGTACCCGGGTGGTTGTTCGATATAAACTTCTTCTTCAAGCACACCATTCAAGAATGCCGACTTGACATCCATTTGTAATATCGGCCATTTGAATTGAGCTGCTTGTGAAATGAGCAATCTGATTGTCTCCATTCTTGCAACCGGAGCAAACACCTCGTCATAGTCGATTCCCTCCTTTTGCTTGTATCCCTTTACTACAAGTCTCGCCTTATACCGTTCTATCTCTCCTTGAGCATTCATCTTTCTCTTAAACACCCACTTGACACCAATGGGCTGAGTTCCTTTCGGCAATTCTGCTAACTCCCATGTGTTGTTGCGATCTATTGCTTTAATCTCCTCGTCCATGGCAGTTTGCCACTTCTTGTCTCGCACCGCCTGTTCAAAACTTATATTCTCGGAATCCACCAAAAGACATACAAGGTGTACCTCATTTGTCGAATCATACAAATCTTATAAACTTCGCATTTTGGGTTGTCGCGGTTCATCTTCATCGTCAATAGTTTCAGAATTTTCCGGTATGGTTGTTGGTATAGCAGTTGATGATTCTCCAACTTTGATGATACCCTCTGTTGCTTTATTCCAATCCCACTCATTTGCTTCATGAACTCGTACATCACAGCTCACTAGAATCTTCTTGCTTATCGGGTCGAATAGCTTATATCCTTTTGTTTTCTCATCATACCCAATGAAAATATACCTTTTGCTTTTGTCTTCGAGCTTTGTTCTTCGCTGATCCGGCACGTGTGCGTAGGCCAAACTGCCGAATACTTTGAGATGAGAGACTGTCGGTTTTTGTCCGCTCCATGCCTCTTGTGGTGTTTGATTATACAACTTCGCATGTGGACACCGGTTTTGAACATAGACGGCGCATTGCACGGCTTCCGCCCAAAATTCCTTCGGCATTTTCTTGCTCTTGAGCATTGACCGAACCATGTCGAGAATGGTCCGGTTCTTCCTCTCGGCCACACCGTTTTGCTGTGGAGAGTATGGTGCGGTTAGAAATCGCCTTATGCCTTGCTCCTCACAATACTTCATGAAAACCGTCGAAGTGTACTCGCCACCTCTATCGGATCGTACAGATTTGATGTGTCTACCGGTTGCCTTTTCCACCAGCACTTTGAATTTTTTGAACACCTCGAACGCCTCGGATTTTTCTTTCAGAAAATAAACCCAAGTTTTTCGTGAGAAATCATCAATAAAGGAAATGAAATACCTTTTGCCGCTGAAAGATTCGGGGGTGATTGGTCCACATATGTCGGAATGAATCAACTCGAGAGGTTGCTTAGCCCGATATTCTGCCTTCTTTTGAAACGACATTCTCGCATGCTTTCCGAGCACACATTCTTCACAAAATTTTCCCTCGTATTCCATGTTCGGTAGTCCGTGCACCATGTTCTTCTTTGCCAACTTGTTTAGGCCTTCATGATGTAGGTGACCAAAACGGAGATGCCACAGTGACGCCTTGTCTTCTACATTGACTTGCAAACATTTTTCTCGTACACTTCTCAAATTCAGTTTGTACATCCGATTTCTCCCCATTTCAACTTGAGCGACTGAACGCCCTTGCTTGTCTTTCAATAGTAATATCAGGTCTTTCATAAAAACCGAATAACCTTTCTCCATGAGTTGCCCCATACTTAAAATGTTGCTCTTGAGGTCTGGTACGTAATACACATCTTGAATTGACCCAACTAAACCATCCTTTTGTAAATAATAAATCGTACCTTGGCCTTTGACCTCAACCTTCGAGCCATCTCCAAACGATACAGATACAGCTTCAACCTTTCGCATCTCTTTGAAACAATGCTCGTGCCCGCACATATGGTTGCTTGCAGCCGTGTCGAGGTACCACACCGTGTCGTTGTCGGTGTTGACTTTGTTGTATGCCATTAAGAGAAAATCTTCTTTCACCTCATCTTCCGTGGCTAGGTTGGTTGTCTCTTCCACTTTTTTCTCGACTCGACAATCTTTTGCAAAATGCCCCACCTTTCCACAATTGTAACACTTATCGGAATTGCAATCCTTCGCATAGTGACCATGTTTGCCACACTTATAGCACTCGATGTTGGAATAATTTGACCGACCGCCTCTTCCACGACCGCGTCCTCTTCCACACCAATTCTGTTGGTTTGATTGCCCCTTCTCCTCATGATACCCTTCTTGACCGCGGCTTTTCCCACCGCGACTATTTCCTCGACCACCACGGCCACGCCATTTACCTCGAAAGTTTTGAGAATAGAGTATCTTTTCGTCATTGATCGATGCTTTGGTTTGAAGTGCCTGCTCAAGTGTCTCATCCTTCTTCTTCTTCTTACGATGTTCATGTGCCATAAGGGAACCGGCAAGCTCGTCGACCGTGAACGTTGCTAGATCCTTTGACTCTTCTATGGCACATACCACATTCTCGAAACTGTCGGTTAACGACCTCAGAATCTTCTCCACGACCCGCGCATCGGACAACTTTTCTCCATCTCGGTTGAGTTGATTCACCACGGTTTGAACACGCGTGATGTAATCGGACACACCTTCCGACTCCTTCATCTTCATGCCTTCCAACTCGCTGCGAAGAGTTTGAAGGCGAACTTGTTTAACTCGGTCGGCTCCTTTGTACGCAGTCTCCAAGATGTCCCACGCTTCTTTTGAAGTTTGCGCACTCGCAATCTTCTCAAAGCCCGACTCATCAACAGCTCGGAACAGCATGTACAATGCCGTCTTATCTTTTGATCGCGTTTCTTTCAACGCCTTATTTTGAGCCGCCGTATATCCTGCGGTAGATTCTGGTTCTTCGAAACCTTCTTGAACCACCTCCCAACAATCCACAGAACCGAGAAGAGCTTTCATTTTGATGTTCCATTCTCGTAGTTCACCTTCGTTAAGCGGGGCAGCGGCACATTATTGATTACACTCCCCATCGGCTCTGATACCAATTTGTAAAAAAATGATTGTTGGCTGCAAAACTATGGACTTGTGGAGAAAGAAATTTCTGAAGAGAGGCTTTATTCTCGATTCTGTGTCTTCCTTACAAGCAATACAATGATTTATTTATAGGTTGTAGTCTGCCCTTCTAAAACTGAAATAGACTTAATTATAGGCAATTCTATTAATAGCCATAAACCAAAATTAAAACCCATTATCACCCGTAAGAGTAACTGCTGACTCTTGACTTTTCATTTTCCTATAAAACTGCTGAAATAACGCACTAATAAAAAACGGACATTTAATGTTTATTCAACACCTCTCCAGTCTCATGCCTTTCTCTCGCAGTCGCAGCCTCGCTCGCTGTGATCCAATGACTCTAGTGGGAGCTTATTCCCAAGTACTCTATCGTCAATTCTCTCTATTAATCCAGTCGCAATCAATCGAGCAACTATAAGTCCTCTTAAAATTATATTATCTATTTTTTGTGACCCATTCCTCTTGCCTTCTCTCTCTCTCTCTCTCTCTCTCTCTCTCTCTCTCTCTCTCTCTCTCTCTCTCTCTCTCTCTCTCTCTCTCTCTCTCTCTCTCTCTCTCTCTCTCTCAATCTCTTCTCGATATGGGTAAGTTCCTCTTCCCTTCCGTCGAGTATTTTGATGAAGTCATCGGTCTTTCCGGATCTCCTTCGGTTTTGTGTTCAATATGTGTGATTGATTATGTTGGTTTTAATCAGAATTGTCCTACTGCTTTGGTTTGATTGGAACTTGGGTTGTGGATTAGAGGGAATCTGTCTCTTGTAATGATTGTTGTGTTGACCGGTTCCCGATTCCCATTTTGTGAAACCGGACCTTAATGGGCGATTCCCGATTGCAAGGAGAAAACCTCCCATTCGGTTCCCGAGTGGAAACTGCCCACCCTTTCCACCCCGAAACCATAGTTTCACAAGCTTATCCTTGAGTAGAAAGTCTCGTCTTATGATCACTTAATTACTATGCTCGACGGTCTTTTCCCTATTATAATCGGGGGACTGCCTTAGATCATTGGTGGTGGTTACCGAGAGTACCTCACCAAATCAAGGGAAAGCAAGCTTTCAGATTGGGGCCACCTCGCCTGTCCAGGTGTATACACCTAGCGGGCTGCAGGACTGCGTTCCTTATTTTAATATGCCGATACCTGCACGCCCAACTCTCCAATTAAAGAGAAAGTTTTTCTTCCTTCTCCTAAGGGAATATCCCGAAATTTTTACGTCTTAGAGTTCAAACGAAACAGTTTAAGGTCATTGCTTAAGTCCAATATGTTTTTTTATTATATAGACACCTAATTTCTTTATGAACGTATGCATGTGTGTGTAATATATATATGGGAAAATTCCAAATCAGTACCCAAAGTGGGGCAAAATTCTCAAAAAAGAGTTCAAAGTGGATATAGTGTCAAATAAGGGTATGAAGTGCCCAATTAGTCTCAAATAAGGGCCTGAGTTCGCCGGCCGATCAAATGCTCACCGGCCGGCGAGCACATTACTGTTCCGGCGACCGGAACAAGGGCAATTTGGTCTTTTACTTTCTTTTTTTTTTTTCTCTTTTCCTTTTCCTTTTCTTCTTCTTCTTTTTTTCTTCTTGTCCCTCCGTCGGCCATAGCCGGGGCCGGCGGAGGCCGCCCTCGCCGGCGTCGGGCGGCCTTGGGTTTCCCTTGCCGGCATCGGGCGAGGGCCGCCCTCGCCGGGGGCGGGCGAGGGAAACCCAGGGCCGCCCACGCTGGCGCCGGGCGGCCCTAGGTTTCCCTCGCTGGGGTCGGGCGAGGGTGGCCTCTACCTGAGGCCGGCGGAGGGACAAGAGGAAAAAAAGAAGAAGAAGAAAAGGAAAAGGAAAAGAGAAAAAAAAAAGTAAAAGATCAAATTGCCCTTATTCCGATCGCCGGAACAAGAATACGCTCGCCTACGGTGAAGATTGACCGCCTGCGAACCCAAATTCCTTATTTGAGATTTTAATTGAAGACTTCAAATTCCTATTTGAGATTAATTGGGCACTTCAGATCTTTATTTGACACTATATTCAGTTTGGACATTTTTTGAGAATTTTGCTCCACTTTAGGTTTTGATTTGGAATTTTTCATATATATATATATATATATATATATATATATATATATATATATATATTGCTTGTGTGCACCCCACCTAGCCCATAGACCACACAGGCTAGGAATGGGAATCTAAATTACCTTTTAAGTCTTGAGTGGAGAAAACGTGAGGCGTTTGGCCAACCGCGAAGGGCGAAAATAGCCGTTGACTGTTGGCGAGAGACAGGGGGCGATTCCGACATTTCGCACCAAAAATTATTGGCGAACAAAATATATATCCGCGCACGGACTGCCCCGGCAGCCACATCTCGCTCGCCGACCGCTGCAAGTCTCTTCCTCTTTGCGCCGACGACTTCCTCGCTCGAAGGGGCCTCACCTCCCTCCCTCCCTTCCGCCCGCTTCCGATCATGACTCATATCCTTCGATCTCTTCGTCCTTTTCTTTTCTGGGTTTTTTTCGGGTATTCTTGAGGTGCAGTAATTTGCTCGTAGCGTTTCCGTTTCGATGCTGGTCTTCTTGCCTCGGGGTTTCGATTGTGCGTGTTGCTTTTTTTGGGTCGTTTGCTCGCTTGATTCCCGAAAAGGGGCGCGAAAGAATTCGTGGGTCCTTGTTGTTTTTCCTTGATTCTTGATCTTTTGATGTTGCTGCTGCACGCGGTAACCAGAGAGATCGCGACCGGGAGAGAGCTCAGTCGCGAGGTGGCAAGAAGGGCAGCACCAAGGACGACGGGTTGACCCCTGAGCAGCGCCGCGAGAGGTCGGTTTTTTTTCTCGATCTCGATTTGGGTTTAAGCGATGGTTGATTTGGGAAATCCCCTGCTTTTTTCTCTCGTTGAATTATGGAGGGTCGTCTGTTTTTCCGTTGATCATGATCTGGCGACTCTTGTTTTGTCCTTGTTGATGAGATGTTTGGTGTGGGTTTGGTGGTGAAATTGATCGGGGGTTGTTTGATCGAATCGAATCAGGGATGCGAAGGCGTTGCAGGAGAAGGCCGCGAAGAAGGCGGCCCAGGGGGGGGCATCCAGCGGGGACGCCGGAGGTAAAAGCAGCAACAAAAAATGAAAGATGTCGGTGCAATGGGGTTTCTTTCTCCTTTTCCTGTGAAGGGTTGTCTTTTGTTCAGTGTTCTGGTTGAATATAGTTTCCATATGAAGAAGTCGATGTCAGTTTGACTGGGGTTGTTGGTTATGTTTCCGATTGTACAATGTTGAGAAGTTTCGTGGTTATTAAGAATCTAACCCATCATTGTCGTGTGCTTGTATCAGCGATCGTCTATTATTAGTCTTCTTAACTTACTTGAGTCAGTGATGGTCTAGCTCCTTCAAACCTGATTGTCTTGAAGTCACTCTTTTGAAGAGCATTCGAACCGGTCGGCTGAAGCTCATAGTACATCGGGGTCAACGACTATTAGTCTTGATGGAATGTCCTTTTAGAACTCATGCATTTTATGAAGCTAATTAATGAAAACTGGGAGAGTTAGCTGCGTGACTGACAACGCAGGTGAATCTAGCAAGTGCCAGTCTATCATTGTTCTCAGCGAAGGTGCAGCTTCAATCATATTGAAGTCTCAATAATTCATAAACTAGCGAGGGTTCTTAATTTCTTACAGAAGTTTTCACTGCCCAGCAGATATTCCTTCAACATGGTTCATTGTTCTTGGAACTATTCATTGTATATAGCTTGAATGTCGTTGGCTTGTGGATCTTTTTGGATTGGTTAAATACAGTAGATCATTGTCCTTAAAAGTATGTGTTGCATATGGTCGAGATGATGATGTTGGCTTTTGGATTTCTTTGAATCTCTTAAATTTCCGTGCAACGCCTTTCTGCTGGTTAAAATGACATTTTGTGGGCACAGCTGTTGAAAGTTCTGTCAGCCTTAATGTGTTTCGTCTTTCCTAGTCCATGATACTCTAGAGCATATTTTAGTTGTCGATTTATTTCGATGCGGATCTTTTTTGTAAGGCTTTGTGAGGATGTCTTGACCCATTTCAATCCTAGTGTAGGTGAGAGATAGGAGGACTCAGTCCTTCACCGAATGTAGGACGGCACATTGAGAATTTGCATTTTGTGCTATGTTTATGTTGGAGGACTATGGCAAAATTTGGATGGTGGGGTTGATGGCATTTTATCCTGCTAATAAGCTTTCAAGTAAACTGGCAGTTCTTGCGGAGTGGACATTGTAAGTAAGGTGAGATCTGTGCATCGGGTTGACTGGAATGGCCTGTGAGGATCAACAAGGCCAAATCAATGTGTGAATCAAAATCAGAGTACTGAGCTTCAATAATGACGAATTGAACTTGAAAACTGTAGCATTTCAAAATCACCGTGGGAGAATTGCGTGTTTTAGGATCGCCAAGATATGAGTCCGGAGTATCATTGGACAGTGGACAATACAATTGACAATCTCTCCAAGCATGGAGATTACCTTAATAGGTTTTAGTATTTCTGCTACGTCTATCTGGGTCTTATTGATCGCTCATCGGTGGCATTATGTGAAATTAATCTTAACAATCTATGTACTCCCATGTCAATAGATCTGATGTCATGGATCCAGGTTTTCGTTATTGTCACCCTTGGAACTGTCCCCAACAAGTTTCGGAATCGACGAAGTTGCCTTAATTGGCTAGTTTGCTTGGTCATAGTGGGAGTCGAAATATCCTGGGCGGCTCGCTGTTTCAGTGAAGATGGTATATACATCCATTACGTCGCGTCTTCATATAGTTTCCATGTTGGCCTACAGGCGAATGTCAATTAGACGAACATATTGGAGTAATTCTTCAAAAGATCGAGTTTGATTGAGTTTTTTCATGAAATTCCTCTCAAAATTTTTTGAAGAACCATAAAATGATCGCCCAAAAAAGTTGGCTGCTGTTGGAGTTGGCCTGTGGCATGCTTCCATGGAAAGGCAAACTGTTCGAGTTTCTTTTTCTTTATGTGAGGCTTAGCTAGAATGAAGATGGTTGAGTTGTGATAAGAGGGAAAAAGAGAATAACAAAAGAAAGCCTACAGAAACGTGGCCTCTGATATTTCATAAGGCCTCAAAGCCTACAGAAACGTGGCCTCTGATATTTCATAAGGCCTCTTTTTGTACGAGGAGAATGTGCCTACTTTATAAGCTATGATGAGAGTGAGATATGGAGAGAGACATAATCATGCGAGGACACGAATATGACAATGAAATAACCTTAGATTAGTCCATGAGATCTCCTGGCTAATGTATTCAATAATTGTCCATTCTTTCTCTGTTCAACTGGAAGGAGGGATGATTACTCTCTCAATCTTAGTGATTTTTAAATCTCTTAACTTGGGAAACCTGGTGCTAACTTTAAGTTTAGTTTGAAGACAGAACATGCGTGATTATGGGAAAAAGCACATGGCCAGAGTCTTAAAAAGAAAAACTCCCAGCACTAATCTTCAAAAAGCACAAGATGGAATAAAAGGTTAAGGAAGAGAGATGAACTGTCGGTAAGTGATTAGTCCAAACCCAAAACCCAGGAAGCAATGAGTCGTGGGCACCAATTGGTGGGTCCGTTGTTACAAGCTTTTTATCCCAAAATCTATTGTATGGATGCCAATTCAATCTCAAATTTTTTGAAAATTTTATCAATTTAGTTCTAAATTTTTGTGAAAAATTTCAATGTTTAGGACTAAATTGGCAAAATTTGAAATGTTTAGGACTGAATTGGCATCTTTTTAATAGGTTTTGTAGGGTTGATTGGTAATTTTTCCTTCTTGGCATTTTGGCAGATCTGACTCTCTCTAGAAAAACGACCTGTTGAGCTACATAATTCATGAAGGGTACGTCTCTATGTGTATATATTTAGCGTCAATCATGGATTGCAAATTGGCTTGATCTTAGTGAGATGAGACTACAATAAATCTTTCTTATGGCTATTTGCAAATAAAATCACTCACGGTTGTTCTATTTACCCTCCAAACACTTGATTTCATTTCTTACCATCGGCTGATTCACCCCGCACTTGTCCAGTTTTACGACGCGTTATGTGATGTCGCCATTTACCAACATTTCTTCGATCATAACCAGGTCAAGCGTTCATGTTATCTAACCATGGCATTACACGACAAAAATGATCTGACAAGGACATTGAAATGTAACATGCACAAGTTTAGGCACGTAAATCTTTTATCTAAGTCTACATATGTCATATTTTATTATTCAATTCGTAGCTCCTCGACACCGTCTGAGACAATAAGGTCGGAAGCCGGCGAGCTCATCATGACAGTCCCACCGGCTTCTTGTAGTCCACAACTGTCTTCACACAAGATAGCAGTGCTCACGAGCACAAGTTACCTAGAGGTTGATTATAACATAGCTCGAACTTATGATCTAAAAGTCGGGCGAGCATAAAATCATCGAGCTAACCACGCTCGGTGGTCTCCAAGAATATATATTGCACAAATTCTCTCTTTGTCCAATTTCCTTCTATGCTATTGAATCTATATCTGAACAACCCCACATAAAACCGCATCAGAGGAACATTATCCCAAAAAAGGGAACCTTCATCATCCGGAAGGATTTTCAGGAATGTTCAGGTTGTCCTCAGTCTAGCAACGCAGCATCAGCAACACTTTTTAAGTGAAACTGTCATTCCCAGCATCCTAGGATTCTCTACCAGGAATGTCTCGCTAGGGAGCATGCTCAGGCAAGTCTCTTATGTGCAGGACTGACTCGGGCTACATTCGAATTGCAACATCAAAGAAAGCTTCGCTAGTCCTCCGCCTTATCTGAGCTCATTTCCAAATCCAATCTGCAAATTTTGGTATGTGCATTGATTACCTTAGACAGATTTGACTTCACCATCTTTAGCCGGATATCTTAGTTTGGTCTGTTATATTGGACGGTCCAAAGTTTAAGTTCTGCAAATGCATCTTTGACATAAGTTGAAATAAGTTGTTTTTCTTGGGGAATTCGAGGAATCTGTGCTCTTCTTCACTAATTGCAGAAAAAAAGTATTTTTACTAACAATAACGGTTAGCTCTTGCCTTAAGAGGAGAGAAGATCCTTCTTAGCAACTCATGTGCATTTCTTGACATATCTTGATCATGTGTTTAAGTATGAGAGGCACATGATCTCGGTTTTCGTGAGCTAAGCAATGTTTACCGTTCTTCTGAATCTAGCCTTGTGAAAAATAGTCCTTGGGAACATGCGCAGTTCGTAAAAATAGACACTGACATTCCTACTTGATTCAAATTTCAACCCGTGAAGAGAAGTTTCTTCACAATAAAGACCAAACTGTCCAGGGTTGGCCAAACTTAAAACTACTAATTCTGCAAAAGAACATGTAGCTCTCACTAAACAACATTAGAACCACTAAGTAAAAAAAGAACTGAAATATCTCTGCCAATGATCTTCCCTGAAATATTTCGAAGCAAAAAAATTCCTCCTTCAGCTCGAAGATTGGCCCAATTTTTCTTTGTTCCCATCTTCGACATTTTCAGTCCCATCTCTGATGCTTTCTGCCACTACAACATTCTCAACCGCTATGTCCTGCTTCTCATGACCCTCCTCTGCATTTGTATCATCCATCTCAGGATGTGCATCATTGACATCCAAATTGCTACTCTCAAGGACCACAGCGGATACAGGTGAGGGCTCCGCATCCAATTCCTTCTCGGTGTCTTTGTCGTCTTCCTCAGAAAAGCTTTTATCAGAGCTACTCTCGTTATCTTGCGTCTGGGGAGAATTCCCCTCTTCAGTCTCTTCAGGATTTGCATCCGCATCTGCATCCACCATGTCCACGTCCAGTTCAGGAAGTCGCTGTTGCAGGGGCACAGCATCGCTGACGACCTGTCCCATCCTCAATCTCTCCCTGTAGCTCTCCATCTCCATCTTGTACCTTTCTTTATCTTTGAGCGCTTTGTCTTGATAAACCTTCAAAGCCATCAAACACAAAACGATTACAAGGAGAACAGCACGAATGTACCGATTCGGACCAGATCAACGTGGATAAGCTGGAATCGACTCCTAGAACTAGCACGCACTTTGATTAAGCCGGTCCAGGGCCAGCACATTTTAGCCAAAGCATGCCCACCGAGCTTAAAACATGAGCAACACCTATCAAACTGGGCTACACGTAATGGTATCTTCAATGCGCACGCAATTGCAGACATCAAAAGCACCAATGCAGACCACAAGAGGGCTGATTCGACCCATAATTAGGTAATTTCTAAGAAAGAATAGATAAGAAAAGGCAAGGTCCTTACAGCTCTCTCAGATTCATTTAGCTTGTTCCAAAGTTCGCCAATCATCCTACTTATCTCTCTGTCCTTCCCAGGGTGGAGAGGTTTCAATCTTGCGTGCTGTTCAGCAAAAAAGAAATTATAACCGCTTCTGTTAGGTTTCGGATGTGCGGGATCCCTCCTCTTGATCTCGGATTTTTTCCTTCTGCGCCGACGTTGAATGCCAGAACTTCCAGCTACATTGTTGTTATTGATGGAGATATTGAATTGCTGAGGCATTTTTCCGGCAGCACTCTGAGGTGTTTGGTAAAGCACACCCTTTAACTTCTCCGAGCCTATTGAAACAGTTACAAGGTACCCACTTTCAAATTTCCCGTCGATTACCCCCACCACAGGAGAATTCGCTGGCCAGGCAGTGCTTGCTGCAATATAGAAGAGAGCGTAAATGTCACTCAAAAACAGCCATAGTCAAGTTAATATAAACCACAGTAAACAGCTACTCGTAGTTCACATGATTCACAATACGAGACCTCGACGCAAGTCCGAAGCAGTTGTCCTTGGTTGCGCAGTCATGGGCACTTTGCTTTCTTGTGCAGGACGCATAGCTTCCATCTGCTGTGCCAAAAATGTTGGCACGGGAGGGCTCTGCAGAGTTCCTAGGAGAAGAAAATCATCCGATAAAAAGTATCATCAACGTTCTGCGACAGTAGCTCAAATGAAAAATTTGAGTAGTCCAGTCACAAACCAGCAGAAAGAGGAGTCCAAACGCGAGCCTTGAAAAAGTAAATTTGTTCATAATGATGAAGCAGTGAAACATAATATTTGCGCAGCACGAACGAGGCATTTGTCGCAGTGGAGGGGAAATTGAAGATTGCAGTCACATCTTTCCATCGTCTTTCCCTAATGATCTGACGGTTCAATTGGTCAGAAAATTCTTTAGACGAGATGACCAGAAGATGATCACAGCTTACATCTATTGTCTGTTCTTTACCTTATTCAAGAAGGACCATACATGACGGATATAATTACAAGATCCATCAAAGTGAAATATCTAGATGTCAAGTTTCACTGTCGATTACATTCCACATCATAGCCCTCAAAACTATACTACTAATATGTAAATTTACCATACATGAAAAGTTTCATGAGCTATATAACGACCAAAACCAAGTGGGAATAGCAGAAACATTAATAGAACACACACCTTTGATCCAAGATTAACAGAAGGAAATCTACCTTGTTGTCCTCAAAGTTTCTTCCCTTCGACCAAAGGAACAGCAGAAAGATTAATAGAACATACATTTCTGATCCAAGTTTCTTTTCATCATCAGTAAACTGGTCAAATACATTTGGTAGCATGTCCGGTTTTGAAATTTCTCTGAACAATAATGATAATTATCTAGGTCTTCACAGATTTCAAGGTGCAATTAAAATAAAAGTGACATTTTATGGAAGATTTTACACGTTAGATTGATTTCAAACGAAAATTAGGAGAAAACTTCCTGAAAAAATAAACCCGAATTTGGCATACCAAACACATTCCTTGAAGATAAAGGGATTGAACAGTTTTCAAAAAAATATTCAGTGAACACGAAAAGAAGAATAATCTCTAAAGCCAAATAAACCATAAAACAAAAGCCCATGAATAAGCAAAGTTGAGAGGTACCTTGAATGTGACAAAAGAAAGATGCACATACTAGTTAAGTCACGCTCGGTAGAATGATTATCAGTCACATACCAAACTAAATTTTTCAGTGTTGTCACATAAACTATTCATATTCTCCTCTAAGTAAAAGTGGCAGACCAAAGTAATGGTATTCAAGATAATTGAAAGAAGAGAAGATTGATGACCATCATTTTCATGCATCTCTTGAAGACCTGCATATGGAAGTAATCCCTACTCCTTCAAAGTGTATGGCAAAATGCTATATTGATCCGATGAAATGGCAGATGAACATTTGGAAGACTCTTGGACAAGGAAATGACAAACTAATTCCCAACATAATGGAAAGATGTAACATCTTTACCTTCTCAATGCCCCCGCGAGAAGTTACTTCTATAAATAACCGATGCAAGTCAAGCTCTTTGCCACCAATGATAGGAATCCTGTTATTATGGAATTGAGGATATGAAGAGAGAGACAACAGCAAAGCAAGACCACCCAACATAGATGACCAAATGAATATCAGTACATGTCAAATCATTAGACTACTTCAAGTTTTATCTATGTAAGAACTTCAGACACACCTAATTGCAGAGATATTAATAGGATCAATAGAGTAGCTAGAGCGATTGCTTTGTATTTTCAATGAAGCTGATGACAGAGACAAACAAGACATACTCTTCTCTTTGTACTCTCAAAGAAGCAAAATGACTGTTTTCGCCTGGTTGAGATTGTCAACTAATTCTGCAATTTATACCTAACTTCAATATGTAACGCCAACAGCTTGCTTAACCTTTTTTTTTGTTTGGCCAATCAACAGCTTGCCAACTGAATGTGCTCCCATATGCTTTCTCAGGTAATGAAGGAGAAAATCAAGTCTTAAAGCCTTCACTGATTTAGCAACTCCACAAAATCCTCAATAACCGCATAAGCATTAGCTTTTGGTGCATGTACATGTGCTTGCTGTTTACAGATAATTTTTTTTAAAATCCACACACAACCACCAGGCAAAGAATGACTTACTCCTTGCAGAAGCAAGTGAAAGCAAACTAGCCTAGCTAATTGTCTGAAAGCACCCCCGGTATAAATTAATGCTTTTATCCCTTAGAAACTGTAGTCTCGGCGGATCTTCAAATAGACATACATACAACAGTTTTGCTCTAATTCTCGTGCATCGTTTTGAAACTTGTCCAAAGAATCACAGCTTACAAGAATGAAAGATCACAATTTCTATTAAGGAGCTTTGGAACTCCCCAGTTAGGATGACTGGGGCAGTCCCAATTACTGCAGAAGATAAAATGGACAAAGACAGCCAATTATTTTGCAACACAAGCCAGTCAAGCGAATCGGTTCACCAATGTTCATGTCCTTAAAATGGTGCAAAATAACTGAAGTCCCTTTCTAAGCTCCACATGCCAGATTCAGAAACAAGTTTTACGGGTGAAATGTCCATTATGTGGTCCACGAACAGATAGAAAACACCACTTGGCAGAATATTAAGTTCATTTTCCAGTTGGAATATTATTTTCTAGTACCAAAAATAGCAAAGGGCAACCACATTATTTCTCTCTCAGCCAACCATGGAAAAATGAAGCATCCATCTACTAATACTACGCCTTACAAGAAACTAAAACTAGACCAATAAAAGGAGTCCTTTGTCCGGACCTATATAATTTTAACTAGCTAAAGAGATATAGGGGTCTCTCAATAGCAAAATGTATATATCCAGCAACTCAAAAATCTATTAGTTTAAGGAAAAAATATACCAAGTCCAGACAATGCTCAACAGTTACTAACTTCCTACAGAAAAAAACAAAAAAAAAAAGGGAGCGAAGCTTTTACATGAATTTGGTCCCCATAGTTGAATGGAGCTTCTCCAAAGTAGTCATAAAGAGGCTAGGACTTGCCACAACCTCATCATACTCTGCAAGAGGTGGAGGGTATGGATGATACCCAGAGGTCTGCATTTGCTCCTTCAATGGAGACATTGGACTTTGGTTCCCACCAGAAGTTGATGCCATCCACTGGCCGTTCCACTTCAACCAGAAAAGCTCCAATATCTACCCCCACCTTCATTCCAATATTACCAAGAATTAGCAATGAACAAAAGAACAAAACTTGCCCTTATAATTATTAAGGAAGCAATGAAGTTAGTAACTACCCATCAAGTGTTTAGCAGAAAGATTATAAACTTTTAAATGCAGAATCCCAAAGGACTAAAGGGATAAATATAACGCAACAGAGAACAAATAGACCCAAGAGAGGGGGGGAAATGAAAGTTTTTACACTAGAGGATGAGAAAAAGGCAAAAGAATAAACCATTAAATTAGCATTCAGATTGCTGGTGGGGCTGAAATAACAAGAGACGAACCAAACTTAATGAGAGCGACGACGACTTCCAAAAGCTGAAATAATAACTTCCAGTTAGTAGACGGAGGAGGAGGAGGAGGGCTGTCTTGTGTGATTTGATTCAAAGCCCAAGAGAAGAAAAGCATGTGGTACAGCTTAGTAGCTGTCACAGCCATGAATTGCTTCAGCGTACAAACGATGGCAGCAGAAGAAGCAGCAACAACTCAACAACCCATCACGGCTTACGAAGAAACTTTTTCTATCATTAATCCATCACCACGCCCTTTTAGGCCCTGTAAAATCTTGATTCAAAAATCCCCTCTCTCTCTCCCTCTCTGTTCAACTATTTGTCAAAACACAGGGCTACATGGCCTACTACCTGGTCTGACATTCCTAAGATATCATGATATCCAACTTTTGTACTCTATTCCAGGAGTATTATATTATAATCATTTAAAGTTTCCTTCTCTTCGCTTTCCATCTGACACTGTGAGAGTCGCGCAGGCAATACACACATCTCTATATATATGGGTATGGATTTCTATTAGAAGAAGAAGGACCAAAACTTGCCTTTGCCCTCCGAAAGGCCCCCACCATGAAATTTCAAATCAGAGACTTTGCGTTATGCGTCCCGTCTCTTTGCTTTCCCATGGAGGGCAGAGAAAACGGGATAAAGTAAGAATAAACAATTCACAACGAATATGGGAAAAAGCGAGAAAAATGCCCAGAACAGTAGTGCCCAGATATTCAAAGCCCCTAATCTTTGCCTCTTACGGGGTTGCTTACCGTACGAAAAACAATTAATAATCCAAAACGAGAGCAGGGGAAAAGAAGGAAAGAAAGTTTTATACTTTTTATATACCCAGATGAAGATAGACAACAAAGGTCACTTTTTTTTGCAGAAAAGAGTACTTAAAATAAAGCACATCAGAACTTACCAGACACAAGCTACAGTGACTGTGGGAGGCTGGTTTCACGAATGATGATAATGGGGGGGGGCATTAAAGAAGACGCTTCGGATTTAGCCCACCTTTGGTGAGTGGTGATGACAATAAATGTGGCTAAAGCTCTCTTCTCCTTTCTTGGGGAAAAAAAAACTATTATTTATTGTAAGCAAATCGTGGTTTGATTTGCATTGCTCAGTTTCTGATATATCTTGCCTATTTTCTTGGCCATCTTATTCTTTGTGATATATACTAATTCAACCACCCCCCCACCAGAACAAAATTTGAGTACGTGTCAAGGTGTAAAAGGGTGATTTTTGGATCTTTCTTGCCTCTTGATTGGGGGAGTTCGAGTGGTGGGGGGCCACATGGATCGAAGAAAAGTTTTACCGAGTGCTCAATGAAGATTGAAAAACACACACAAAGATTTATACAGAAGAAACTTGATGAAAAGCGCAGATGGGTATGCCTGGAATGTATCTGTATACGCAAATGTAAAGCTTTCACTTTTCTTGTGTTATTGATCAAGCAGAGAAAATCTTGGGATGGATGGATGGATGGATGGGCAAGAACGTGTCCGATTGACTGCCCGGATGAAACGGCAAAACAAAATTAGAGATATGAGCGCCGTAACAGCATTTAGCTTTCTTGGAACAAGTCTCTCTCTCTCTCTCTCTCTCTCTCTCTCTCTCTATGAGAAAGCATGATTATAGCTGCATTAATATCATCATCACCGACCCTATCTTCCTCTCTCCCATTCCCACTTAAAAAAGATTTGATAACAATCTTCTCGGGCCGCCATCGGGGCTGTTCAGCTTCACGTTTTGCGTAACCACCATTCAAATTCGTCAGATTTTTTAGGCGATGTGATGCTAATTAATGGACTTAGCCAAAGAAAGACAGAGGTAAGTGTCACTTTGATAAAACCATTTGGCTGAATGGCTGATTGACAATTATATATCTTTACTATCTTCACCCCGCTATTTTGTTTTTGTGAGATAGGTACTATTGTTCCCCGTTGATAATGGCGTATATACGGAAAGTATTATAACGTTAGTGGTATGAATTAGGAATATGCGATTCCATGATGGATAGGTTTCGGACCTCGAACCTAAAACCTACCATTTCGGGATCGGTTCCCAGTCTTTGGAACCGATCCTGTTGATCTAGTCCGGACCTGGGAATTGGCCAATTCAATTTTTTTTGTTTCACTTTTTTTTTTAATTTCTTGAAAGGACAAATTTTAGTGGAACATCCATTTCTTTATAAGAGGCAGGAGCGGCATTAACAAGAATAAAAGATGCAAGATAAAACTAAAATGAGGGAGCTAGGGTTTCTCGGTCTTGTCTGGTCTGTTCGCACACCCAGGACCGGACCGATAATATAGCCGGTTCCAAAAATTCGGAACTAATAATTAGAGTAGAACCAACCGGGTAGGGTCGGTCCAGTCCGGTTTCAAGGTCTATCCTAGACCGTTGCTCATCCTTATGAATCTATTAGATACTCGATTAACTTCATCGGATCGCAATAGTCTTTCTTTTTATTGTCCATTATTCATTCATAAAGAAATATTTAAATAAATAGTATTTATTGGGAATTTTTTTCCAATTTTTTTTTGTTAAAACGTTCAACCTTGGGGAAGGTGCGGGGCCCCCAGCTCTAGCCATCAGCCAGACCCAACTATTGGGTGTGTCTATTATATAAGATCGCAAAAACGAATAAAAAGTATAATGATTCTATCTAATGTCTAGATATATGGTAGATAAATTAGTAATATTTATTCGACCAAACAAAAAAACTAGTGATACTTGATAGGTGCGTGTATGTACGTGTGTATATATTTATTATGACACAAAAGGTGCATCCTATATAAATATGGGTTAATACCACAAAAAATCACAAACTTATACACATGTGACAGATTTATCCTAAATTAATTTTTTGACCATAAATTTATCCTCAATTAGTTTTCGTTAAATTTTACTGTTAAATTGTCTAGTTAAATGATACGTGATAGTTGACGGATATACCCGTTTGGGTTTTACTCTCCGTTTGTCACAAGTGTACTAGTTTTTGATTTTTTTTTTGTATTAATCCAATTTAATAATGGTAAATTTATCACAAATGTACCAGTTTTGAATTTTTGGTGGTCAATTGGGTAAATTTATCACGAGTGTACCAATTTGGAGTTTTTGGTGGTCAAAAAATTAATTTTGGGTAAATTTGTATGGGGTTTTTTTGGTATTAAATCTATAAATATTGGGCGATGACCCAAAAAAAAAAAACACGGTGGACCAATATCACATCTTCTTATACATAACATAAAATTTTGGTAAATATAGTTTGTTCTAAATAATCATTATCTGGATAAAAGCATGTCCGCATCGTGTCATTCGCAACGTATAACTCCAATCAAGCCCAAATTCATTATGGCATTAGGCTAAAAGATGGGTCTAACTTCATGACAAGTTCTAGACGACAATTTGTAGAAAATGAACTCCAAAAACATCGATTGTATATGCTCGTGATGGGTATACGAGTGTATCTCCAGCTCTGAAAATGGAGGTCACCCCTTTGAATGGTTCTAAATGCACACAAATTGATCTGAATCATGGCTACCTGCACGTACCAAAGGTCTGGATTTAACTGGTTCATGCCATTTGCAGAGTGTTTCATAGGTCTCCAAGTAGCCGAGTCTCCATGTCATGCCCTTCGATTATCAAAAAAGAGGAAAAACAGACCGCCAAGTAATTGATCCACGGATAGTTTTCAAGGGTGGGAATACAATGAAAGGATCAATAAATAGTCCAACCATTAACACAAAAATAGTTAAAACCAGAAAAATAAAAGGGATTTGGTCAATATAGTACCCCCCCCCCCCCCCCCCCCCCAAAAAAAGGATATGATCTCAAAAATCTCAAGTTAGATGAGATCCAACATATAAAAAATAAGGGTATGATCTTATTTTTGATTGGAAATTATCATTTAAAAGAAGAGGATAAGATCTATTTTGCATTATTTGCTGTGTTTATGTGTTGTATGTGGTGATAAAGATGAGGACCAACGAATGCTGTAGATAACAGCGATGGGGAGACGTCACATGCAAAGGAGGTCATATGCTAGTGGTAGAACTCCATGCACTTGTCAATTATTAATATCAACTGCACATTTGATTTTATCTTCGGCATTATTTGAATGTGAGAGGATAATAAGCCGGGCTCTTCCAAGTCCACTGAAAAGTCTCCTATTTCCTAAGGTGCTCATTGATTTTTCTGGTCATTGTACATGTGAATGAAGTTCAGCGTAATCATACGAGCCAAAATTATCAAAAATGTCATAAATCTATTACAATTGTACCAATTCAGTCCGGTAATTTTTAGATATTTCTTTTCTTTTTCGTTTTCCTTTTCTTCCTTCTTTTCTTTTTTTCCTCACAGTGGCCGACGAGGCCAACCTCACCATGGCCTTGCCGGTAGCAGGCGAAGGCGGCCATGGCCTCGCCCGCGATCCCCAGGCCTCGCGTCTGAATCGCAAGGCTGGCCTCGTTGCGGCCATGCCTCGCGATCTAGGCGCGAGGTCAGATGAGGGCTATGACCCTCGCTGGCCATTGTGGAAAAAAATAGAAAAGAAGGAAGAAAAGGAAAAAGAAAAAGGAAAGAATTTTTTTAAAAAACAAATAAATAATTCGAAAAAAAATTGTTATATTTAGCAATCGCCACATCAGAATCGGTTGGATGGCCGGCATCCACGTCAGTGTCAACTAGCCAAAATTGGACACAAATACAAAAAATTTAATATTGAATTGGCACAATTATAATAGATTTAGGATTTTTTTGGCCAATGCAATCATGGAAAAGTGTGCTCATATCATCCGCTCGTTCACACTCCAAGATCCATACAAATTTGACAAGATTAAAATATAGATCATAGGACAAATCCCATATTTGAGCACTCTTTTTTATGGGGTAAATTACACAGGCTAACCAAACAAAGAATGCGCTTGCGTTTAGAGATGGCGATAGGGCGGGTGGCGGGACGGGAAGGAAGTCTCGACCCTGCTCCAGCTCCACGCGCCGCGGCGATCAGGGTAAGTTCCCACCGGCCAAATGATGCGCGGTGAGTGTAGTAGGCCAATGATTCAAAGAGCTATGGTATTTGGGTATCTATACAACATCAAGAAACGATGTGAAATGAAAGGACACGAGTGATATAACCATTGCATCATCAAGATGAAGCGGGGACGAAATCTTTCAAAGTGATTAAGCATCTCTGCAGCACAAGTTTACCTGCACAAATATCTTGGAGAGCTACTCCTAGTAAGATCTTGAGGAGACGATTCAAAGAATTCCTTAAAGGTATAGGACTTTTCATAGCAGGAGGTTTGAAGGACAAGTGGTTATCAAGGCATTAATGAGGATCAACCACCCAATACGAGTCAATGATGGCTTGACGTCTCCAATGGAGGAGCAAAGAGAAGGATCACAGGACGATGAAATCTCAGAGGAGGAGAGTATAACATTTCTTCATAGTAATTCTTAGTTGTTTATGATTGAGCAATAACGCACCTTAAAAAGTCACTTTGTGCAACATTAGTAGGATCAGAAGTCTCCTTTTTTCAGAACTAACCAGTCGAACCATCTCATCAGAAAGACTGAGGGCGTATGTACATGAGCCTGACTTAACCATATTACCAAAATCACACGACATCCTATACAATCCACAGGTGACGTGGCAAAAAACCATCGCAATTTCTCAAAGATTGAACCGATACCCGTTTAAACCCTGGATCACGAGATGAAGTCGCTTGGAGGGCGTATTCATAAGCTAGTGTGCACAAGCATAGATGCCTTCATTGTTCACACCCTTGATCAGGTGCTTCGGTGCACTCCTAAAGATACACTTCGCCAGCGCCTCTTCTTGGCACTCACCTGAGAAAGGAAACAACACAAGCTTCATTATTCTGAAGAACAAAAGCAAATCCTACAAACTGCACCATAGATGTCACACTAAGCCTAGTAAACTTAATTTGGGCAATGCAAGCTAAAAAATACATAATTATATTTACAAGGCATGCAGCAGAAGGGGGACAAGGGATGAAACAGTTCCAATTTTACCAAACTTCAAGTACTCTGGAAGACACTTAAACAATTTCACACAATTCAACTTATCTCAGACATTAATGCACATTGCGGATATGCGTTGCAGAGTGACAACCAGAAACCCCGCCAAAATATCATTAGAACCATAGAAAATTACTTTAGGAAAAAAGAAGACTGGTGCTCGTCCAAGATATAGCAAACGAACACTGTCCTCTTATCATTTGTTTTGTAAGCGAGAATTCACATGAATCTAATGCTCTCAGCTAAAGGGAAACCCGAAATCAGACCAAAATAGGAATGAAAAGGTACATTATTCTATTGATAAAACCCTTCACGGTGTTATTGATACCTGCAGTAAATAGCAATTTGGTTGTCTTCCCTGTGCCAGCAAATAACATGTTAACATAAAACTCAGTAGCGCACCTTGGAGGATGCAGGTGGCAGAGAAGCCTGGCGCTCAGCCTTCCCATATCCCGTCATTTCTCGGATCTCGCGCAGTTGGCTTACTATGTTTTCCAAAAGCTGCAACTCGTCCTTTCCCCTTCCTCTGTTCCCTGCCGCGAGATTGAGCTTTTCTCTTCCCTCTTGTACAATCTTAAGCCGCTCCCTAAGCCACCCAACTTCATTGTCAATTTTCATCCTCTCATAATCGACAACAGACATGGAATTTCTGCGGAAATAAGGGGGCAAGGCTTGCTCCTGTAAGCTAACTATTGGCACATCAGAACTGCTTCTGTTCATGTCTAGCCCAGTACCCTGATTGTCTAGAACCAGATGCTCGGAACTTGTCAGAATATTTAACGAAGCATTTTTAGTCAGTTTTGCCCCCTTACCCTCTCCCACTTTACTATGTCCACTGAGTGGCTCATCGCTGATAACATGAACATCATGGACACAGGGCTCCAGGCCATATCCCAATGTTTTTGATACTTCGCGATTGATATCTGCATATCTCCCATCAGTTTCCATATCACCACCATCTAAGGGAAGGTTCATAGGGCTCCCCCTAAAAGTCTCATTGATATCTGACGCTAAACCTTTAGACAGGCTTGAGTTGACAATTAGGAGCTCATTTTCCTTCTCATCGGTTTCCACATTGAAACCAATTCCCTGGGAAGAGAACGGCTTATTTTGGTTCGGCAAATCTCCTTGAAGGGCAGATAAATCATTGTCTGTGGATAACATTACCTTTTCCTGAACTTCTTGATTTATCTCATTAACAGCCAGATGCAGATCACTTATGTCAACATCTGATTGCCCACCACTAGTACAGCTTGCTCTCAAAGACTTATCATCCTCAAGCCACTCTGGAATTTGTAATTCTCTGTCAAAATTGACAGTACAATTCTGAAGTGGAACGAAATGGACCTGAAAGCATGGGTCATTGTTTGCTTCAGGTTTCTCCTTCTTGATAAGAGACTCACCAATGCGCTGCAGCATCGGCTCTGGATCTTCACTTGAAATCAATGAGGATGTTCTCGTTGCCCTAGGAGCAATAGTTTCATTCAGATCATCGTCCAACTGCTCATTTGCAAATATCATTTGCCTGTAAGATTCTACTTCCTTCTCCAAGAAATGCCTTTCCCTCTCCCTCCTCAACAATATCTCTTTGAGAATGTTCATCTCCTCAGCATCATAAGCAGATTTTTCCTCTATCATTCTCTGGTACTGCCGAGCTTCCATTTCGATTGATGCCTTATCTGCTTGAAGACGCAGTATCATAGCCATGGCTTCGTCCGCAGCTGTAGCAGCTGCATTTCTTTCTTTCTCAAGGTCAAGGTACAAAGCATGGCGAGCAGAACGCTCTTCTTCTAGTATTTGCTCCAAGGCTCTAACCATGTCCTTATTGCTAGCTCCAAAATCAGACTGTCTGTTGCCATTAGCTCCGAATTCTTCATAAGCTAATGAATTTTTCTGCGTGTCATCATGTAAATCAGCAGTTTTCTCAGTATCACACAGAGCAGAGTCCATTAAAGCATCCCTTTTATCTGAAACTGCATAAGAAAGCCTTAAGAAGTAAGACAATTGCCATATAGGTAGATGAACAAGCCATTTTACTGTCCAACACAGACTCAAGCCAATTCAAGGATCAAGAAATAATCTACTGACTTCAAAAGTGCTCAAATAATTCTACCTGCAAAGCACGCATAATAACTCAATATTAGATAACAATCTCTCTTACTTGAAACTTGACCAGTATATGCATGTGGTTTAGATGCTTTGAACGCAGTGATAGATTCTATATGACGTGTCTATGAAAAAAATGACAAAGGAAGGAATTATTCTGTAGCTATTTTCACAACACTCACTGAGTGATGGTATACCCATTACTATCATCTCGAGGGTGCAACTGTCATTAGAGCACACGTCAAAGGTACCAAAAGTCCATTTTTTGCATTGAAGTAATTAGCACTTTCATAGCTGAGTAATTAAATTCTTTATGCAAGAAAGAATATCAATGTAGGTGCACATTTGACCACTTGTAACAATAATAGCACGCACTTTGTAGGCACACAGCAGACATGATAATCCATACCATTTATTAGTGATTTAGTTAAATGTGCACAAGCACATATGCTTATTATTTAAGGCAGATTAAACATTAACGTATTTATCTAAGGAAAATGGTAACTAAGTAGTCTTATATGAGGGTGACTTAAATCTGAACATGATGCGTAAACACCAACTACTTTTGAACAAAATGTCGCACTTGAAGCATGTTAGATATTTTCCAATTAGGGTAAACCTTCAAATTAAGAAATCGAGGCCAGAGATTGCACTATTACTGACAAAAAGGCAAGAAAATAGATGCTTTTCTAACTCTGGCACTCAAGCAAACATGTTATCAATTTGTACCAAATCCATTTTAACAGTCTCTTTTTTTGGTCGGAACAGTTAATGACAATTAGATTTGCACGTTTTAGGAGCAAAATCATGGCAGATTCCTTTTAATGCATGAGAAAGCTTTAATGAATCCATTCTCCAGTCATCCGTAGGAACAGCATTTTAACATTGTTTGGAAATTATTTTTACCAATAGTGCTATTTTATAGAGTTTTTTGCCACAATTATCGACCGAAGAAAAAAACTAGAGATGACAAAGACATACAGAGAGATGTGCTAAAAGCTAAGTCCCCACTCACCTTGTAAACAGTTAATTCGGGACTCAGCACAGAACAAGCTCTCTTCAGGAGACTCCTCTCTGAATTTTCTCATGCTTGAAGGAGAAGGCACATCTTGCGCATCTGCTTGCCATGGATCATACGAAGAGACTGATGAAACCTTCCCATATTCAACTGACCTTTTTTGACGCCGCCGAAGACCCTTTGTCCTCTGGCTCAAAGCTCCCTTTCCCTTATAGTCAAACCTTCCTTCTTCCCCCAAAAGCGAGTCCACTGCACCGGACACGGCATCCGATTCATTTGTTGGATTTGACCCTCCTACACCTATATCTCGTTCTCTCCTTTCCGCATACGAACTACATGATGCTTCACCTTCCAATTCCACACGCCCATTTTTGCAAATCCTCTGTTCCTCTGGCTCCAAAATCATCTCACGATCCCGGTCATTAATCAATGCTGTATCGAAAGGGAAGTTGTTCTTCACAGACATTTGGACAGAACATATTTTCTCAAACGGTTGGTCCACCAAAACCTTCCTCACACAGCCATTGCCATTTGGATGCCCAAATAGTCCGTTGCAGGGACAGGGCAAACACAACCCGAAAACCCCCAAAAACTTAGAGGTGAAATAAGCAAGAGTAGCTGCGCACAGCAGAGAATACGCGATGGCAAGATCAAGAAATGCACCCACCAACCCACTAAAAGTCCAAAAACGCATCCCGTCGCACTCCATCGTCCCTTCAACACAAGTTCTGCACACTCCACCAATGAAAACCAATCAACAAATCCTCTACTTGTCAACTAAGGCACTGAATAGAGACCGAAACGCATAGAAGAACACTAAAACAACATGGGGAAGCAAAAAAAGAAAAAAGAAAAAAGAAAAAACAGAACCCCAACCATAAAAATAAGCTCCCACCTACTCAGATGAAGCAGAAACCCCAGAGGCTGATTCTCCGCGGATGCGGAGCCTACTTTTAGAAAGAAATCATACAAACGGACACTCCCCATTTTCGCAACGATTCAGAGCAACCACCCAACAAGCTCGAAACTTGCAATAAGAATAAGCTACCCAAAACGGAAGATGCAGCGACAACGCTATGCATAACGAGGAAAAAGAGGGTCAGGAGAAGACATGTAGATTCTGTATGGACTCACCCAGCAGTGCAGTTCAGTTCAGTTCAGTTCGTGGGGACGCGAATCATGTGTTGGTGATCGACACCCTCGATTTGGATGCACGTGAGGAGGCGAGGAAGGAGGAGGACGAAGGATGAAGATGGACGGCCGGCGCCGATCCGGAGTTCGAACGTGGACGAGAAGGCTGCTTTTGGGTTTGGATTTGGTGGGGATGGGATGGATGATGAGCCTTCGGTTTTTCCATTAACGTGGTTCAAACGTCGGCTTTCAGTTCTCATTACCAAGGCCGCTGATTCGGACAGAAACGACGCCGTCGCTCGTGAGTGCCCCCCACTTGTCCCCACCATGGGGGTCCCACTTGTCTGTCTGCGAGGAGCGTGTATTGCCTGCGTCCGGTTTTATGCAAAAACGCTCACAGGAACCGTCGGATCATATGATAATGAGTTGATGTGATATTCTAGGATTTTTCCATGATTTTTGTTCTTTTTTTTTTCCCTAAACAAACTTTTCTTTTTAACACAAGCACGGTTTGGGGAGGGATTTCTGTTACGTATTTTAACAAAGAAATTATCTACTCCAACCGACTAGTTTTGGGTTCGATCGACTCTGGAAATAGAAATAGCCATATGAATAAGAGACGAACAATTTCTTATTTTACTACGTTCAACTCTTTTCTTTTTTGTTTCTTAATGATCAAAGGCAAAGGGTTGCTTGTATCTCATGCGGGGAAATGGCTTTTTCAGATTGCTGACTACGGTTCGAGACCCCATAACATAACATAAGAAAGTAATGCGCTTTATTTCTGTCCTAGTTGATACCGATTCGACATGAGCCACAAAGTTGACAGTTGCAGGTCCATATAGATCTCTATAGTTTTCTACCAATTTGGGAAGAGCTTGGTGCGTTCACGTTTAGGCAATAATACAAAACATGCACAACCGAAGACCCGCAATTCTCATTGGCACACTCTACCACTGAGCTAATAGCCCATCATGCGGGCATCTTGTCGGGGCCCATAACCTTGATCAAATGTGTAGGATAGGTGGGAGGTGGTGACACACGATGACCAATTTTGAAAGATTACTCTTTCGTCTAAGGATGCCTAATCGTCACACCGTAATTTTCTTTTCGCCTAACATTAAAATTACTACTTGTATTTGCATTCAATATTTTTACTGTAAATAATTGGATGAAATAATAAAGATGGATACAACAATAATAGGATGGTATTTTCTCGAGGACTTCTAATGATTTTTTATCTTCTTCCAAGCTCGCGTTTCTATCTATTCTTATTTTCCAAATACGCGTAAATCAATAGAAACTACAAAAGATTAAATAATAACGCTTAACATGGTTGCTCGAGAATTTTCAAATTAGGTAACAATTTCCTCGCGATTCGCATCTTAATAATTTCATGTGAACATAACATGGAGAAAAGTGTCAAAAAAGTCCTAAACCTTTTGCATTTGTGTCAATTTAGTCCTAAACCTTTTTTTAGTGCCAATTCAGTCCTAAACCTTTTGCATTGGTGCCAATTTAGTCCTAAACCTTTTTTTGGTGCCAATTAAGTCCTAAACCTTTTGCATTAGTGCAAATTCAGTCCTAAATCTTTTTGCATTGATGTCAATTCAGTCCTAAACCTTTTGCATTGGTGCCAACTCAGTCCTAAACCTTTTGCATTGGTGTCAATTCAGTCTTTTCAGCTAATAGCTATTCACGTGTCGAAGGATTGAATTGGCACCAATGCAAAAGGTTTAGGACTGAATTGGCATCAATGTAAAAGATTTAGGACTGAATTGACACCAATGCAAAAGGTTTATGACTGAATTGGCACCAAAAAAAGGTTTAGGACTGAATTGGCACAAATGCAAAAGGTTTAGGACTTTTTGGACACTTTTCCCACGTCCTAATTCCCTAAAAAACCCCAAACTTTAGTTGTAGTCCCAAATCTGCCATAAACTTTTTTTTGTCTCATAAAAAATCACAAACTTTCATTTCAAACCCAAATCTACCCTAGGTTAATTTTATGTCCAAATGTTGACAAATTTTTTCCAACTTGTCATCCACGTGTCATCTTCTTTTTCCACGTAAGCTCAGGTTGACATTTTCTTTCTTTCTTTTTTGTTTTTTCATTCTCTTCTCCCTTTCACTTTCCGCCATGGACAACATGGTCTAAATTATCAGCTTCAGCTTCTCATCCTTCGCCTTCAACCTCTTCACCTAGATCTCCAAATCGTCCGCAATCTTCCAAGTATGGTTGAACACCATCCCATGGTTAAGTGACACCAGCCCAAGTTGTTGTCCTCTGCTTCTTCTGCATCTCCATTGCCCTCTCGTCAGCAATCAACGACGACACCTCGTCCAAACCCGACCTCACTTCCTTGTTCTTGGTGTCGTCGGAATTGAGCTCGAGACCCAGCACGTTGAAGTCGCGGTCCACGTTGCCGGTGCCATTATCGTAAGTCCTCAACAAGCCCTCATAGGTGAGCCCCTTCTCACCGTCAATGCACTCGCCCTAGGTTTTGAACTTGACCCTCGGGTTCTCGGCCACCGCGAGCGTGGCCATTTCCTCCCTGTTGAGCCCTCCATCACGGTTCCCGTCAAATGCTGGAAAACTCGCCTCACCTTCTCCGATCTGCTGCCTCTGGTCGCCATTTTAGTCCTAGAGTTTCATCAGAAGCAGAGAAAAGGGAAGATTTTGGCCCAAATGACTGACCAATGCAGAGATAGATGGAGAGGTCGCAATGTGAAGATTGAAAGCGACGATGGTGTCGCCGGCCTTGGGCGACTGCCGGCGACACAAGATCCAGGGTCGCCCAAGGCCAACGACTCCGAATCTGGGCTAGGCGGCATTGGATCCGACGTCCTGATCCCAAATTTGACTATCCACCGACAACTAGAGGGGGTGGAGGCTCGGCTAATGGAAGCATATGGGCTTACAACAACGACGAGGTGACAAGGAAGTCGTGGCAACGCGCACTCAAGCTGTTACGGCGATGACCGGCGTGTGGCAGCACCTGGCCTTCCTCTGTGTTCATGATGGTGCTCTTGTTGTCCATGGCGGAAAGTGAAAGGGAGAAGAGAATGAAAAAACAAAAAAGAAAGAAAGAAAATGTCAACCCGAGCTTACGTGGAAAAAGAAGATGACATGTGGATGACAAGTTGGAAAAAATTTGTTAACATTTGGACAGAAAATTAACCTAGGGCAGATTTGGGTTTCAAATGAAAGTTTGTAGTTTTTTATGAGACAAAAAAAAGTTTAGGGCAGATTTGGGACTACAACTAAAGTTTGGAGTTTTTTAGGGAATTAGGCCCTTTTCCCACATAACATGAACGATATTAATTTTTGTCGATCCAAAATGATAAAGTTTCACTAGCATTTAAGAAAAATTCTTATCTTGTGGAAACTTTTGATTTACTTTGGCAATGTAACTGTGATTTTATCATTGAAAATCTTTAAAGAGAAGTCATTTTTGTTTCATCATACGATTATATGTATGTGTATATAAAGATAACTAATAAGAAAGAATTTGATGGTGATATATAAAATAAAAATAAAAGTGAAAAAACATTTGATTGTACCAAAAAAAGTTGTTCATGTTACTTGGCAATTAATTCACAAATTTGCTTGGCGGCATTGAAAATAAAAAATACGTTTCTTAAAATTTTATCCCTTTGACAAGACTAATGTCACGCCCCGAGCCCTACGGTGCGCGAGCATCCCAACCGTGGTCGATATTATTGTGCGACGTCCCAGGACGCGTCGCCGACCCAATACCCAACGCAGAGATTAAAGCACACACGAAAGCAACAATTAAATCACCCGAACAAATCAACAACACGAGATCAAGGATAGCACAAACAACAAACAACAGGGTTACAAATATACACTTGCATTAACATCGGGAAACATATACATTATCCATTTACACCAAAATACAACACATCAAAAGCGGGTCAACGGCTACTACTAACAAAAAGGGGGTAAGCGGCCAGGGCGGTCTGGGATACTAAGCCTAGAAGGGGCTCCGGTCAAAAAGGTACTGGCCCGATTTAACTGAGGCTAAGGCTAACCCTACGGAACCCAGTCCGGGTCGGATCCCGAGAACTCGGAAGAACTGTCAGACAGCTCGACCTCTAAGTCTAGGGAATCCAGCTCGGACTCGGCCTCTGCCAGCTCCTCCTCAGAATCCATCTCCTCAGGCTCGCTCTCCTGCTCGGGGTCCTGCTCTATAGGCTCTAGCTCCTCATCCGACTTTATCGGCTCCGGGTCAGAGTCCCAATCCACCGGCTCCTCGTCCATCGGGTCTGGTTCGTCTATCTCTCAGACAATAGGTCCGTGTTCGACGTCAGCACTAGAACTCCCCTTGGATGTGTACTCGGGGCTCGCCAGGTCTCCATCGGCACACTGGGAATCTAGGTCACCTAGCCCGTTGAACGGGACATCAAAAGTCCAGAGGGGCTCGAAGGTCCCGGAATAGTCCCTAAAACACCAAGCGATATACTCGTGGGACTGAAAGTGCTGCTCACCCACGTCAACCCACACCGTAGTAAAATGCCTAATATACGTATCCCCGTTCCCTATGGGGTACTCGGTCACATCCCGGTCTATCCGGGACAGAATCCCAAAACGTATTGGTACCTCAGACATCTTCAGGGCCAGGGGTCTGAAAAGTTGGTTTTAACAACCGTGAGAATGAATCTCAGCGAGTAAAACCCCCTAAACCTAAACTAGGCTAACATGCACCTCCTGACAGGCAAACAAAACACATATAACCAGCAACAATTGACAATCAATTAACCTAGGCCCTCGGGCCCAGATCGAGCACCCAATTGACCCTACAGGTTAGGCATAATATAATCACCATAATGGCACATACGCAACAAGCTTAGTCACACGTACGCCATGCACATACTAATGCTCATTAATGCTTGTATCACACACGAGTCACCGATACGCACATGCTTGCACACATATGCCACCAATATGTCCATGCTCATGATCCGGCTCTATGATGCACACTTGCACATTGCCAATTTCCCATTAAGAGTTCGACCCGCATAAAACGCATCAGGTCTGACCTGCGTAAAACGCATCAGGTCTATAACAATTCCAACACTTCCTAGCCCGCGTAAAACGCATCATTCCCAGTGTCTCTAGCCCGCGTAAAACGCATCAGGCGACACCGATCTCCATATACGGACCAAAACCCGCGTAAAACGCATCAGGCTGGCCG